AATCAATATAATAATGAAGTTTGTGTTGAGGAAATTGCAGCAGGAAGTGGTGTAAGGGTGTGAGCAGAAAATGTAGCATTTCCCTTCCTCTCCCTTTTCCATCATCGTGGTGTCAGTTTGTTGCCATCAAGATGATTAAGTGTCTCGCAAACCCCTGTTATTAATCGTTACATAACTGCTCTCAGTGATGGTGGTTGTAGTTTGTTAACATGTGTCAATTTCGCCTATGTAGACCCTATAAAATCCATAGTCCTTTTTCCCTAGGACGCTAGGTACAAGCTTGGAATTGTTTGGCACATTACTTCAGGCTAGACCTAGGGGTTACGGCATTATCACTTAGATAAAATCCATTGGTGATTTGGCGGGATTTGAACCCGGGACCCCAGGAACCGTAGTCCCGCGCTCTAACCACTATACCAGCTCGCTCCCCAAAAAATCCATTGTACTGGTATGGGATTTAATTGAGATTAGATGTTTGTAGTTGGGGTGTGAAAGATATCGCTGATGCTTTTAGTGAAGGGATATTCAATACAGGGATAGGTACTTCTCTTTTTTTCGTGAAATGTATTTTTTTTAAGTAAGATGATTTTTAAACATGATCTTCTGGGAAGAAACTCTTCTTGAACCCTACTTAAAATAGTACAATAAAGTTTTCTCGGTGCCAGAAAGTCAAATTTCTTGAATGAAAACGAATCACAAAAGGAACGTTAAGAAAATCATGGAACGTAATTTAGTTTAGGTTTTGAATACGTAATCATCGTATATTTTTTACAAAGATAATCAGATTTGCCTTGTTTACCCTTTCCTTTATAACATATTTATAGAAAAATATTATGCATTACTTATGCAAACAAAATCAGAAATATGAAGTATGAAAAATAAAATAAAAACAATTTTATAATGTGGGTATTATAGCAGTACTACATAAGAGCTTACATGTTTTTAATTAAATGTAAATAATACTTGCAAACCATAACCGTGTAGTACATTACGAAACACAGACAAAACATCCCATAATCGAGTATAAACATTGTTACAGCACTATCCAATGAAAATTAACGAGAATGGAATAAAAACAATATTTTCTTGTAATACCTCCCTATATTCTCGACTCATTTGTTTCCATTGCCAGGCTAATTGTGTTGCCACCCTCTCTTACAGTTGATTTATAGTTCAAATATTGCTTATATTGCCAAGTAATCATTAGACTTTATAGGGTGGAGTTTTGCTGAGTCTTGTTTGTTTAAAGATGTCGGAAATCAGTACTTATACATACAATAGAAGAGTTCAAATGGTATTGAGTTGCTATTATTGAAAGTGTTCAGATTATATATGATGAATTTTTGTTTATTTTGCTTCTTATGTTGCTAGTTTGCACGAGTAAAGATTGAAATTTTTACTGTTCGTTTAAATTAAAATTTTGTTAGCAGATCTTTTACAAAATAATTTTTTTTTTTAGAAAAAAACATCTTTTGGTTGTCAAAATTGTTAGATATACTTATTGTACGCTTAATGTTTTTTCCAGAAGATATTGATAAATTAAGGTTTAGCCTACCATACCATACGTTTGATTTCAAAAGATTTCAATTTTTTTCTCATCCATTCAAGGGTGCAGCTTAGGTGTCAGCTGCATTAGTTATTTGCTAGGTTTTCACAGAGTGAAACAATCTTAATTCATTTGGATTAAACACACTAGTATATTGAACAAGGGATCTTTTTGCATTGACAAATTTAAGATTTTTAAATGTGTATTAAAAGTGTAAGTAGAGTTGTAAAGTGACAGCTGTTAAAGGGGAGTGGAAGGAAGGGTTCATCAGCTGATTAGACTTGGTAATCAGCTGTTGAATGAAGCTAGGGACAACCTTTTTCTACAGGACTTGCCTCAAGGCAGGCAATTTAAATAGCCATTGTACTTCTTCAGCTTGTTCAATAGCTTTAATGTTGTTAGTTCCATCCATATAAGTATTGGCTTTGTTAAAGTTTAAACTAGTAAGACAAATAATGCAGCAAACAATATCTTGTGTTAAATAACAGTTTTGTTGACAAACAAGTTTTCCTATTTTAATTTTTAATAATATTTGTTTTATTAACTCTGTAACAGTCCAGTAAGAATAATAACATTTGATATTTTTGGATATAAATTTTTAATACATTTCTGAATAATGTTTTTTTGTAACCCCTTAAGCCTGTAGGCCAAAAAATATTGTTTTCAGCTATAAGCATGGATAAGTAATTAATTAATTGTAATCCATCCTCTGTTATTATAATATTATCTTATCTTGGTTAATATACTACAGTGTTAACCAAGAGAAGAGTGATTGTCTGGATTCTCAGTGCAATATAAAGAAGAGCGGATGGTTGTGAGTTATATTGGTCATATTGTACAAACCTTGCTTTGTGTTGGGGCAGCTTGTGTTATTGGCAGTCCTACACAGAACACCACTTTGTGTTACATTTCTAGAAGTGGGGGTGGAAGGGGGGTCAGAACTGATAACTCTGGCTATAGTTATTTTATTTTCAAACTAGATTGCATTTAATGGAATATTAAAAATTATGTGTAATTGTACTAGAGGAAACTTTATACTTGTCTAAACTTTGAATAACAACTGTACCAAATACGTGGAGTTTGTACTCAAATATTCACATACTGGATTACTCGGGACTTCTCGAAGTGGACCATCAAAGAATTCATTGCTCTCCTTTATAATTTGTTTTATTCAAATTATTAATCAAATTCACTTATTTTATTCAGCAAAAATAAATACTTCAACAACCCAAGTAAAATACAGTATTAAACAATTAATTGAGAAGTTTAATCATTCTACAAAGAAAAGTTAAAATTTTGCAAAACTAACTATTTCAACAACAGGATGAGTTGTTTTTAAGCCTACGGTAGTAATAATGTTGTAAAGAGCTACAAAGGTAAAGCTACTACTGTAGTACTTTTTTTTGTCCTAGGATGCATAGTCAATGACGCTAGGCATGATTCATTTTTTCATCATACAATACATTTAGGCTACCATTAATTCAGTACAGTATTTATATGATGTCTACATTCATTTAATTGATTGTATTCAGCACATTAGGTTGATGAGAATTAACATTTACTATTACACATTAGAGGTCATGTGTGCTCATAAAAGTTTATATAATGTAGAGTCTAAATACTTCAGGAAGTGAACCATTAAACTAATTTTCTGACCTAATCAGTGGTTGATTCTGCCATTAAATCGAAAAATGTAATTACTGACCTACATTATTGCTGAGATTCACTTATCAGTCAAGCCATCATTTAGTGCTTAACTGAGGTCCATAGGCCCATTAGGTCCACTATCTCAGTAGTGTCTGTAGCTTCTATAGTGGTTCCAGGCTGGTTTGGCTCTTTATGCAGTGTTGTTTGTGTTTAAAACTCTCAGCAGCTTATCAGATCCAGTTTTAAATTAATTACTTCAGATTGTGGTGTTTCAGTCTGTGGTTTGTCAGGTTGAATTGGTGTTAATTAAATGTCAGTGTTTTTGTTAAGTGGATATTCTAGTAGGAGTGAATTGATTTGAATCAATTACTTAAGTGTTTTTGTTTAGATTGCGTTATAACTAGGTTTGATTTGAGATAGAAACGTTTTCCGATTTTGATTTTAATTGCATAATTTTGTGAGATAAATTGACAAATGCACAAACAAAATGGCAAAAACTTTATTGGAAGAAGTTCTTGTAGAACTGATAGCATTACAAGGGAGCGATTGGAATAAATGTTCAGAAATCAACGTCAAAAAGTCTTGCAGCGTACATCGAAGCAGAAGTTTCCCCATGAAAGGCAACTCGTGGCAAAACAAAAACAAATATTCTTCCCTGAGGAGGTCGAAAGGTCAAAAACTTTGTGAGGACGAGCACTTTCCGATCGGGAAATGGAAAAGTTGCTTGCGAGTTAGTCAAACTGTAGAGTTTGCACGCAGAGTTTTGGGCGATGTACATGACAAGTATAACGGCGTGTACACTAGCAGACGACTTCAGTTTACGGTCGACAATTGTGGCAAAAGTGGGGTGTTGGAGAAATGCGATGTAGTGACTGCCACTTGGAAGGCTGAGTGGGTTAGTTGGAAATACAATTTCTTGAGGTTTCTAAATCACTCTATGTTGAACCCTAAAAAACACGGTTTATTTAGTACCTATTCTTAAACTCTATGCTTATAGCTGTTTGTGATAGATACCTTCAATATATTACATTGTAGCTATTTTCTGTTTTGAATGTCTTATATGATTGAATTAAATTTATTTTTGGCTCCTAAATCACAGAGTGCTTGAATATTATCGTATTGTAACTGTTAAAAGAATTTTATTTAACATATGTTCGTTTACAATATTTGTAAACATATAGGTTCATTGTTTTTTCATTCCAAATAAAGGTTCATAATAAATTTTTTTCAGTTTAATATCTTCATCTTTTTACAGTAACCATCGTTGTAAGTCAACCTGTGAAAAGTTCAAGCTATTTTACTTGTATCTTTTTTGCATGCACTTATTTCAGCCCACTTATTTCAGTACAATTTCAAGAACAAGACTCTAAACAGTAAGAATAAAGATAACCTTTTTGTACATGAATATACCCTCACTAGGAGCTTGTATAGCGTAAACCTCAATAGCAAATTATTTTGTGATTTCTTACTCCAATCGCACTTTTTGTGTGTTTGTTAGGAATGTTCCAAACCGTGGTCTTGTTGGCACCTGGGACCCTAATTTTAACCTCTTCAGCACCACAGTGAATTGCAATGATAAAAAAAGTCAATCTTGCTTCGATGGTAAAAGTAGACTGTTAAATCTTGGTCTTAAAGAACCATTTTAGCTCTGTGCCAGTTGAACTGTAGTTCACCTGAAAGATCCTGTAAAGCATCTGAAACGTCGGACATGGTTAAATTACTTTACCAATTCAACAGTAATCCCTGGAAGTTTAAGATTGCTTCCCCCTATGTGTTACAGTGGTTTACATGTGTTTACCTGTTACAGATCACAGGAGGTGGGGGAGGGATGTGCGGAGAGGTGGAGAGTGGAGGGGGAGGCAGTGTGAGGATACATCACCTCACCGGAGTGTCTCCCGAGGGTCGGAGTCGCTTCCCCAAACTAGAGGAGTGCGCTCACTTCCACTACGAGCATGTGGAACTGGGCTCCATACAGGTGGGTTGACTGTTACTATAAGTGGCTGAGTTGAGTTATGCAAAATAAAGTGGTGGACTTTGAAGTTTGTGTTTGCGTGGAAGTGTCATGATCATAATTCACCTTTGATGATGGTTGATTCACTTATGGCAGATCTTTTTTAATTAATAATCAACTGCATGGCTCACAAAGTCTTTACACTCTAGAAGCCTTAGTACCTGACTGAGGGGCTGTGTTTCTATGATGAGGTCCTACAAATATCCACTTGTTAGCCAAGCTATTACCTCCGGAGGGTAAGGTTAAAGTTTCTCCTATTCAGAGTCAGCATAGTATATTGGCCTTCCTAGGCACTGGCAGCCAGTAGTTTAAAAGATACTATCTAAGAAACTCTTTTAGGGCTTAGAAGAAATTGTGTCTGTTTTCTTTGTCATTACATGTTCCCTTTGATGTTTTTTAACTTATGCCCTTTATACCTTAGTTACACGTTTAGTTAAAGTTTTATTGTGACTTAAGTTGTCTTCAAAACCAGTATGTAACCACAGAGAAGTAACGTACAGAGGAAATATTCAATGTGGTACTTATGGGGGTATCAAGCACTCTACACTGTCATTTCTCATAACCCCCTTAGCACTCCTTTCCCCCTGGCCATCACATACTTTAACACTCACGGTGGAGGAAGACCCTGCGGAAGTTCCTAGTGCACAAGGCACAGGGTCTTCCTTGCTTGTGACAAGTATATTGCCCTAGCTTGTACGCACTTGCATGCACACCATACTTAAGGCTGAAAGCACACGGTCATTCCATAAGCAAGGTTCCTCTGTCTGTACCTTACTTCTATGTGCTACAACTTATAAACTGTTGCATAGCAATCGTCATTATTTATTTGTTCATTGACAGATATCCCTGTGTGAGGAGGAGTCCCTGAGACAGCCGTGTGATGGAGAAGGCAGCAGCAGTAAAGCGGTGACAGTACGAGTGACCAGTGGGGCTCAGTCTTGGCTGCTACGACGCACGTACGACAACTTCCGCATGCTGGACCAACAGCTGCATCGCTGCATCTACGACCGCAAGTTCAGCAATCTCACTGAGCTTCCACAAGTACCACCAGACTCTGAGGTAATGTGTTTGGTCTATTTAGGTCTAGGGCTGTTCAGAAAGCAAAGAACGTGGAATAAAATAAAGTTAGAATAAAACAAAAAGTGGCATTACATGCATTTCAAAGAGCAACTAAAATACTACCTTTCTACATAGCTGCCAAATTAATTGAGACAATTATTGTTTGAAACAAAAATATTTGAAATTTGCTGTCAGAAAATTTTTACACCTGCAAGCTTAGACATTTGGCGACATGCACTTGCGTCTGCTCTTCGTCATCAAAGCGTTGTACTACCAAGACTTATATTTTTTTTTAATAAGTGAAAGTTATTGACAGCAAGATCTGGACTGTAGGTTGGTTAATGGAACATACCTCATTTAAATGAATGAAGGAGTTCTTGTGTACAATTTGCCGTGTGAAGTCGGGTATTGTCATGGTAAAAATCTTGCATGTCAACTTTAGTTTGACCGCTTTGATACTGAATGCATCATTTCCGAACATAGCTTTCATTAATGTTATTACATTATAGAACGGACACATTTCCATTGGTTTCAAATTTATAGCTATCAAAAATCCGAAGATATTGGGTACCAATGTATGATTGAGGGCCTGTGTCGTTCTAGTATGTTTAAGGTTAGCTGTGGTGATATTTTCAAAATGTTTAAGTTGAACAAAATTGACAATAAATCAGTATTAGAGTGTAATGAAAATTCTTGGTTTAAATCATAAGTAATCAAATCCAAATTGTATGTATGTTTTTTTAGAGTAAACTTTAAAATTAATTTAAACACAGTTTCAGATATTGATTCTGATCAGAGGAATATTCCTAGGGCACTTTTTAAGCCTGCTAAAAGTACAAGTTCGTCCACCTTAATTAAATGTGTAAAAGGTAACACAAATTTTCCTACAGTTCTTGTTACTAACCTTATCATAGTAAACCTCCCTAATGTATGTTGTGATTGACAGGAGGGTGTTGAACAGTTGCTGTCTGCGTATGTTACAAGACTGTCGACCATCGCAGGCAACCTGATCAACTGTGGACCTGTACTCAGTTGGCTAGAACTGGACAACAGAGGTAAGCCTAGCAGATCACATTTGTTGGATGCATTGTGGGAGGCAATCTTTTCTTCACTATATTTACACAATCTTATACCAAACTGACTTTCTCAAATATTTTTGATTAAATACACTGGCTGTTGGATTTTTTATGTATAGTGTGAAGAAATTTAGGATTTACGATGATCTCTTACTGAATTTTGTGGTGAGGTGGGCGAGAGCTGTAGTCTCTAGGTCCTCTATTATTGTGGGCTAAGGCCAGGAAATATCCTCAGCCTTCTCTTGAGCCACCAGAATTTTATTTGTTGTCAGAGGTGCCACCCCAACAAATTAGTTGTACCTGTGATTCCCACCATGGCATAGTACGCTGCCTTGGCTGATTCTATTCCATTCACATCAACCTCTTTACTGTGTGTTCTGGATGAGAGTTTTGAGTTTTGACCTTGACTTGTTGCAGGTCGCAGATTGCTGGTAACGGAAGGAGACAACTGCCCAATCAACACTCCGGCTGTGGCAGCGGCCTACAGCATCAAGAAGTACACAGCCGTGGCCGCCGATGAGATATCCTTTGATGTGAGTCTCAACTTACGTAACTAAATTGACCCGACTTTAGTGGTGGTGTTTAGTAAGTAAACAACCACTCTGGTCAAAATAAAACTAAATTGAAGAATTTTTTTTTAAACCTTGTCAGCAAAATACTCGTTATTCTGTTTTTTTTGTTTTTGTTTTTTTTTTTTGTTTTTTTTGCCCATGGGAATCTACTTGTAAATCTAAGTGTAACGGTTTTGTGTAAAAAAATGTTTTATTTGATGTGTTTTGCCAGATTGGAGACATGATCTCAGTGATTGACATGCCCCCGCCGGAGGAGAGTGCGTGGTGGAGAGGCAAGCGGGGGTTCCTGGTGGGGTTTTTCCCCTCCCACTGCGTAGCTGTCATCACAGACAAGTTGCCTCGCAACCTCAACCTGCATCAGTCCCTCACACTACAGGGCCCCACCAAGCCTGTTCTTAGGTACTGCTTTTCAAATAAGTTTAATGCTGGGTTTTATTTGGCGCAGAAGCGATTCCAGTGGCCGTCCGCTCTACCCTTATATTACCTTAGACAAGAGCTCTCCTATAAAAACCTGTCCTGTCCTCACTCCTAAATAATTTTTAAACCGGACACACAATTAATTTTCAACTTTTTTTCACTTTTGATACATAATAATCAAAGTTGAATGATTGCAAAGAAAAGAATATATAATTACAGATGCCAAGATGACCGTTAGATTCTGTTTGATGTTCAATCAGATTAAATGGAGTATTTTCTTGTTCTTTTTCATTTTTGTAAGATTTTGGGGTGGATTTAAAATAGTTTTCAAGCTATCCAAATTCAGTCCTAATGAAATAAAATTTACAGCACAGACGGCTTTTTAATATACAGGTGATATATGGGCTTGAAAAGAACGATGACCTGTAATCTCTTCCGGACGTTGTTATTATGAGCTGTCTGGAATAATTGTTTCCATTCACATTGCGTTTGTGTGTGTCCTGCTCTTTATATAGAATCAGAAGTTAATAACATTACATGTTTAGCTAAACTATTACACCATACACTAACATAAGCTATTCTGTGTGATGCAGGAAACATGGAAAGCTCATAGCGTTCTTCCGGGCGTTCATCCTGTCCCGGCCATCCCGTAGGAGACTGAAACAATCTGGGATCCTGAAGGAACGAGTGTTTGGCTGTGATCTTGGAGAACATCTGCTCAACAGTGGCCATGACAGTGAGTTTAAACTATTACTCTGTTATGATGAAAACTTAGCTTACTGCATTATCTCTTCCATGTATCATTTTAACGCTTAACATATTGCGACAAACAAATTCCTTTTCACTTTCCATTTCCATACCCAACGCAGGCTTGGACTCTCGTGTAAATAATAATCAATATTCAATTAGAGTATACATAAAAACAAAACCCACTTAGTTGTAAATATTCTTTTTTAAATTCATAATGTGTTGGCAACACTGATTCCTTTACCAGTGAAGGACTCCCGATGTTGGAAAAAGGGCCATTTGCCTTGAAATATTAAGTTTTTCCTTTGTGTGTGTGTGTTTTTTTTTTCTTTTGTAAAGTTAAGAGGGATGGCATAGTTTTTTAAGGTATGCCTATTGCCTGCTTATCCGGTCCCTTGTCTCCTTAATTCTCAGGCAATAATCCCTTTCCAATCAAACCTAACCTCATTAAACGAGGTTATTATTAACTTTATTGTTTTCATGTATCGTGTTCCTAGTTAAAATTATTACAAAATACCCCCGCTGCAGCAAACCTGACGCCTAAGCGAATTTCCATTTGGCTGAATTGATTTTCAATTGATCTATTTAAATAGCATTAGGTTTAACGAGTACCTAGGTTTGCTACTACAAGGAAACTAATAAAGTGTGTGTTTTAAGTAAAATAATTATTGCTTAGTATAAAATGAATATATTTGCCAAGTTTGATCAAAAGATATCCATAAACAAGCAAACTACAACATTTTACAATATTCTCCAAAAGAATAACATGGGAATTTTAAATTTACCATTTTTTTAGTTTTCTCCGTAACCAATAACCGTACAAAAACACTTTGATATACTGAATTGTTTGTTTTTTTATGCTCTTTAAGAAGGTTTAGATAAAAACTAGCTGTGTGCCCGTTCTACGCACGGGGATCTTATCATAGTCAGTTAAAACCTTCTTATATAAAGCACAGCAGTTGGTTTGCATACTTTCAGATATGCTGACAAAACTATTCCTTCGCAAATACAGTATCTGACAGTTTCAAGCCAAAACTAATGCTTCGCAATTAAATGTCACCCGGATCTTGTTGGTCCATATGTTATATCCAATGATTAAACTAAATAAACGGTATCAGCATTCTGACACATACTTTCTCCCATAAGTTTGTCAACAACCTTTATCATGTGTAAGCGGTGAGAGTAAATATACGGAAATGGGATTTGTACAATTTTGTTCAGAATTTAAAGGACTATAACATAATGGTTAAAAGTATTTAAGGTACTACCTCAACCTCTTAATTTAACACTTTATTCGGGTTGACATTTTCATTATCAAGGCGCTCTTGTCCTTTCCGTGAAACATTGAGAAACAAGGACATTAATGCGTTACCATCATACATACACACAAAAATACCGAACTTAATTATGGAATCTGCTACGCTTTAAGCATAAAAAGGTACATATAAAATTAGTACTTGAAATCTTTGTTAATGCCATAAAATTTGATCATAACAATTTATATTTGCTTGGACCGGAGATGACTCGAAATTCTGTCGAAATGCTATCTGAATCGGTTTGCTATATGAAATGAAGTACAGTAGGCCTACTATAGACGATTTAGATTGGTAATTTGTAATAAAAATTACCAAAATAGGCCACGAACTATCGATACATAAACAACGTTCAAAGTGTTTGAACAATAAATTCATGATGGTTTGCTGAATAAATGTTTTACTAAAATGCGTTATAGTTTTCTTAGCATAACATTTTGGAATCCAGACAGAAAAAGCAAAAATTATACTGTTAAGACATCAATTAAATTGAATAGGCCTACGCCTGTAATAAATAAGGTGCAACACCAACGATAACTAATTTGTAAATTACTGTGATGTGTTGGTACGTAAAAATGATTCTTGCTGCTACTAAAGGTTAAAAGGAAAAGAACCAGTACCGTACCAAAAACCAACGTTTACAGTTAAGAACTGTAGTACAGCCGACCAATTATATGCGTTAATCAAGGTTATTGATCTCTTGGTTTTGGATTTTCTCGTAAAAAGTTATCGGCAATCAAAGTTATTTCCCATTAATTGCTTTATTTGTACACAACTCTTAATGTAAACTTATCGGTGTCAGTTTGAAAAAAAATCTTATACAACATAACTTTCTGTTATTTAATAGATTACGTATTCTCTAAACGATGGTTGCTGGTATATATATTAACCCTTTTCGCTCAATTGGTGGGGGAGCCCCGCCGTTCGTCATGGCCGCACGTACTCTAATACCGGGCCATGTCCGCCTGTTGCTATAACAACGAAGGCCTACTATGCTTGTATTTTGATTTTTGATTTTTTGATTTTTTTGGGGGGGAGATTTTGTGTAAGTATTTGGAAAAGGATTACCAGCCTTCTATAAATCAAGATGATATTTATTTTTTGGTAAACAAATGAAATATGCAAATTTTTCTCAAATTAAATGGAGCTGGTGAGAAAATAGGCCTCCCGTAATAGGAGTGGAAAGGGTTAACATTATAAGGAAATGTGACAAAAATCACACAACGTTGGGTTTTTGGACGTTTATAATTTTATTTCTTAAGTACCTAGGTAGGCTGTGTATTCTATGGAAAAGTACCGGTATCAAGGATCGTTGTCGAAAAGGTTGTTATAAATAATTGGGTAAGCATACGTACCACACGTACCCAAGAGAAGGGCTATGGGCCTATTGGCTGTATGGTCCAGCGAATGCATCACACGGTGAGTAGGAACTATTGACTTTATATAGTCAATGGTAGGAACAGAAAGTGACACATTGGAAAATCGAGTTCAGCATCATCCGTAAACCTCTGTTACAATCACCCACTGCAGTTGTAATTTTTTGCTTTACACTTTACACAACCGCCATTGAAGAGCCGTCAATGAGTGGAACATTGTTTCTAAGCTATTGGCGACGGTCATTAGTAAATTTAAGTTTCCCAGCCGTATACAACACTGATTCAATCTTGATTCAATGTCTTCTTTCTGGTTATCAAAACTCCAAAACAATTTTATACACATATTTCTGGTTCCTGACCTGGATGATGCCTAGTTATTTAATTTACGGTTACACTATATTATTCCACTTGCGATTAATTAAATCCTTTATGTAATAAAAACGTTTTTAATCTCACTTGGATGGGATTTGCCTTCAAAACGTGATCGGAAATGGTTGTGGTGTTTGTAAACAACATTTGTAAACATTTCAGTGACAGCTAGAAAAAATAATCTTGATCCAAACAGCTGTTCGTTGTTTCATAGATGATTATGTGATACGAATTGGAAGAAAACTTGACAAAAATCGCACAAAACTGCATTTTTGAACGGCTGTAATTTTAATTACAAAGTAGTGAGACCATATTTTAATGGCTAAAGACACTCTCGCCAATCCAGTGAATACTTTAAAATGACTTGGGTCTTGATAGGTACTCTCGTTTTGCTGGAGAAGATTGCGTAAAATGCCATCTTGAGTGTGTCAGACAGACAGACAGACAGACAGACAGACAGACAGAAATTTAGATGAGACTTGTTTCGGCTTCTTTAATGTATAAAACGTAAAAATAACCTAAAAATGTATGATTCTGAGCAATGTACAGACAAAACTCTAATTTTATTTATATGGATTGGGAAATTTTGTGTTTTGAGGGTCAAAAGTGAGAAAAACCAATTTTTACCCCATAAAACCCCCCATAAAACCCTGTTCCCATGGTCCGATCATGCTGGATCGCGAACTCATTCAAGTTTATCCCGCCTTACACCTTCAAACCAAATTTCATCAAAATCGGATAAAAATTACTCAAGTTATCGTGTTCACGGACACATATATATATACATATATAAAAATTTGAACGAGTGGTGTTTTTGGCCTCTGGGGACATCAAAATGAAAAAGTAAATCAGTCCCGGGCCTAAGTCTTACCATGAGACCTACGGTAATAGATACTTCCCTATAGGGAAATTCGCTAAAAGTTTACTCTGTGTTCTTTTTGCACCACCCTTTGTAAAGATATTAATTTACATAGAAACTTAGGAAGTATATGAGGTTTTAGCGAATTTCCCTATAGGGAAGTAGCTATTACCGTAGGTGGCACGGTAAGACCTAGACGCGGGACCGATTTACTTTTTCATTTTGATGTCCCCATGGGAACGGGGCTTTACGGGGGGTTTTATGGGGTAAAAATTGGTTTTTCTCACTTTTGACCCTCAAAACACAAAATTTCCCGATTTCTCTTTAGACCTTTTTAAAGAGCTTAAAAAAACAAATAATTTAGTATATAAAAGTATTTTTGTTCGATTATTAGTAACGGAGAAAATAAAAAAAAAATTGTAAATTTAAAATTCCCATGTTATTCTTATGGAGAATATTGTCAAATGTTGTAGTTTGCTTGTTTATGGATATATTTTGATCAAACTTGGCAAATTTACTTATTTTGTACTAAGCTATCAATATTTTACTCAAAAACACACTTTATTAGTTTCCTTGTAGCAGCAAACCTAGGTACTGGTTAAACCTAATGTTATTAAAATATATTTAACTAAAAACCAATTCCGACAAATGGAAATTCGCTTAGTCGGCAGGTTTGCTGCGGCGGGGGTATTATTACCTATGAGGACTTCTTTTCTAAGAAGAAGCGCATAAAAAAGCCCTACTGGTTTTTCAGCAATGACCACCCTTGAAGTCGAGATACATAATATGTTTGTTCTCATTCAGTTTTTTAGTGCATTTCACTGTACTATACATTTTTTGTGCTCGATTGTTAATAGTTTGCGATTTTTCCAGTTCCAATGGTGTTGAAATGCTGTTCCGAGTTTATTGAAAGCCATGGAATTGTTGATGGCATCTACAGGTTGTCTGGTGTTACTTCTAATATTCAGAAACTCAGGTAGGATTGAACTTATGCATCAACATACATCATAGTTATAAGTATTAGCACAGAAAAGTAAAATACAGAGGTGCGCTTTTAGCTCTGGTTTGGCGGGGCGGAAATATACTAGTATCGAGCAAGGAAGAGCGTGACAACCACATAGAATTGTTGTACAGCAGTTTTAGTGCACAGGGCCTTGCGAGAGCACACCCTCACACGAGAGTGTGAGCGCTGTAGTATGTAATGGCGAGGGAGGAAAGCAGAGCGGAAGAAGACGACGAATAGAATTTTCTCTAGACACCACTTAAGTGTACCATTGAATTTATCTTCTGTATCTTACTTCTCTGTGGTATAAGTTAGGTGCAACACTTTTTACCTTTTTTTATTTTATTTTTGGTTTTACATGTTTGAATTTATCCAGTAACCTCAGGTTGACGATCACGATATCAGTGGGACTTTGTTGAGTAAAAAATATTTGCTCAATACATAAAATGCTGTTCCCATTTTCTTCTGTCTGATCTAAAAAGTAGGAATTATCATAATCTTTATCAATACATCAAATTTAATTCAGAGCTCTGGCGTTACCCCGAGTTTGCGAAACCGCGTAATATTGTTTCTTTTTCTTCCCATTTTCGTGAATGCAGTGCAAGTTGATATCTTAGTATGTTTGTTACAGATTTCATTAAGGTGCAAACAAAATTGCTGTACAATGTGAGCTAATTTAAAACTTATTATTAAGGTAACAAAGCTTAACGGAGATTTGGTTTCAATTCGAGTACATTGGACGTTGGTAAATTAGGGGTTTATTTACTTTCAGTTGTTTAGTTATTTTGAATAAATCCCAAGGTTTAATTTTTTTTTTTAGGTTAGTTTTTAAACCTTACTAAGTACTACTTGTGTGTTTAGCAAAACCTCCTTCAACTAAGATATTGAGCAAAATAGTTATTAGACTTTTACTTACAATTGGTCCAATTAAGTTTGTTCTTTTATTAATATTAATTTACTTTGCTTAACTCCCTACTTAAAAATTATACCCTTGAATATTGTTCAAAACCCCAAATGCTTCATAGCGATTAAAGATTCACACTAAGTTATCATCCTGTTAATTATTTTTTTAGTCAATGTATTAAAAATGTTTTGAATTGTAGTTAACAAATATTACTCCTAAAATTCTAGTTTAAAAATTAATATACCTGTTTCTTACTTCAATTTTAACAGTAGCTAGCTATTAAATCTTTTCTTAGTTGTAAAATCAATTTTGATCAAACTAATTCTTTCTTCTTCTATTCTTTTATTGATAAACCTTGTCCTAGAAGTTTCGGAAATTCTATTTAATTGATTACATTTAACAATTGCTAGGTAAATCGAGACTCTCACAATGTATAAAGAACATTCTTTAACCACATTTTTGTGGTCACAAGGCATCAATGGAGATCTTATATTGAGAACTTAATGTTTTCTTGTCCCACGGAGCTGGTGACAAAGTGAACAGTTTCTGATGCAACATTTTTCACAATTATCAACCTCTCGGTGTTTTCAGGAGGACGTTTGACGAGGACAGAGTGCCTGCGTTGTATGAAGACGAGGCAATACTGCAGGACATTCACAGTGTTGCGTCACTGCTCAAGATGTACTTCAGAGAGCTTCCCAACCCTCTGTGCACGTATCAGCTGTACGACGCGTTTGTGACGGCCGTGCAGACGGAGAGAGCCACGGACGAGCGGCTGTTGCGGATGCGGGAGGCAGTGGAGAAACTTCCCCCTCCACATTACAGGTACGACTGTAGAAAATTGAAATGTAATTGTGTGCAATTCTTTACAATAATTATGTAAAATTTAATTTACTAGGGTTGAAAATCTTTAAATTATCAAATACGACAAATACCCCTGTTTCTTTTAAAATTCAAATTCTTTATTAACACTCATAACATATTCTTTTTTTGGGGAATCTTCTTATGTAGGCCTATGGTCTTTGGTAGGAGATAGTGAAATGTGTCCATGAATAGTATTCTGTGCTACTAGCTTTCCTATTGTCCTGTCAGCTGTTTATAGTTACTGTGTTGTGTTCAGGACGTTGGAGTACCTGATGCGTCATCTGGCTAGAGTGTCGGAGAGAGGCTCTCAGACAGGCATGACAGCTCGCAATGTCGCCATTGTGTGGGCTCCCAACCTACTCCGATGCAAGGTAAAACATAACATCACATGGTTAAGTCTCCTTCGCCTAACTCTCTGTCGGTTTTGTGGCATAAAGGTTGATTTGAATGCTTGAAATTGTTTGGAAAACAAGTTGTTGTAAAATGGAGTAGTTTTATAAGTCTTTCAAGTTGGTACCCCTGTCGTGTTGTAGGAGCTGGAGGTGGGAGGGGTGGCAGCACTGCAAGGTGTCGGAGTACAGGCCGTTGTTACAGAGTTCCTCATTGTTTACGCAGATCTAATTTTCTGCTCTGCTCCACTTCCGACTACATCCACATCGTCCCTCACTCATGGTGAGTCTGATTCTCAACTGTTTTACGACTGAATGTGCTGAGTGTAGCTTTCATATTAGTGTAGCAATATTTGTAGGCTTTCTCGAGACATTTTGAAAAACATTCAATATTAAGTGGGTCCATAGTATCTCCAGGTTTTATTTCATTTTTAAATGTTTTTTTATAAAAACTGTTCTAACGATTTTGATAAAAATTTAGTATGTTAAAGTCCTTTTAACTCTATACAAAATTGTACAACATCTATTGCTCTAAAATTATGGTTAAAAATCTATTGTGATTTTCCCATAAAAAACATAGGTTACACAGCAACCCATGATACAGGTTTTTGACAAGCTATTGGGAGAAAGTATGTGTCTGATTGCTGATACCATACTTTATTTCTACCAAGCTATTTCTATTTTGCAGTGACGCCCAAGAGAGTACGGCCCAAGTCACTGGCCATCTCCACACCTACCAAGCTGTTATCGCTGGAGGAGGCCCAGAGTAGAGCGCTGGCCGCTGGCAAGCCTGACCAGGACTACATAGAGGTGGGTGGCGGCCCTGCGTGTCTCCCCGCCAAGTACCACACTGTGATAGAGCTGCCACGCAAGCGCGCCGGCTCCAAGCGCTCGCCCCTCGGCTGGCGCTCGTTGTTCGGCAAGTCCAGCCGAACGTCACACTCAACGCACAAGTCTCGCACACCGGTGTCGGAGCAGCGCAAGTCGTCGGTGCCCACGGACATTGTGTTTGGGAAGGTCAGTTTCGGTTAACTGTTGGTAGGTTTTGTGGGATGGATTAGATTAGTTTTGTTCAGGAGCAGGCCAAATAACAAATGTAGAACATCGAACATCAATATGTATTTTTTTGCTTTATTTAGGTCTATCATAAATCTTTTGTTATTTAGATTGGGTAACTCGCGACTGTGATGTCATTGATTGTTGTAATTAGTTTTTTGATAAAGATCACTTGTCTTAGGAATTTAGGAATACACTAAAGAAGAAAGATTGGACTAACAATTAACTTTCCAAAAAGAAAATTCAGGCAGTTGACAGCACACAAACATTCAAATTCACAACACTGTTTTATATTTTACTCCTACAAAGGGGTGTAACGGTTAGTTTTTATGTGTTACTTCTTTTAAATGATGTTTATTATTATATAATATATTGTGGGGGGTGAGCTCGCTTGGCAGTGAGCACAAAGAAAGGTACTCGAGATTCGATTATACAAAATTCTATATTATATTCTCAACACAAGTAGTTTTAATAATTACAGAGATAAAGGGAAAAATAGAATATAGATATTATATCAAGAACAATGAATGGCAAATACTAAATGACAAAATATGATTTTCAATCAAAAATAATTGTTTATGTTATTATTCTCAAAATAACTATTCAACCAAAGAGGCAATAGAAATTGGTAAATTTATATATATTGTTTCAAATAACTCTGTGTTATTAAAAATATGAATTTAATATGACAAGTATTAAGTGTTTTTTTTTATTAGTATTTCAAATCTATCTGTGCTCTAAGTCCAAAAATATTAAAAGAGTATAACGGCCTTACCTTGGCCAGCCGGCGCTGGTTCCTAAGGAAGAGTGAGATATTGGTAAAAAGGTCTACCACCGATGGTACTTTCAATTTGGCTGCAAAGAGAGAGGGTAAGGCCATAATCAGCAATTTGTTGGGTATTGAACCTACTGAATGCAAGAAGCAGCACAAAACTGCTTACACTCAGCAATCTACTTTACTCAACCAACTGCTGTAACTGATACTTCTACAATTGTTTGATTGATTGAAAATCATTTACAATATGAATTTTAAAATTTTTTATGAATTAAAATTTTCCCCAAAACGTCCTACCATTACAGGGGTAAAATATAAAAATTAATGTTTCTGTGAACATCGGTGTACTGTCAACTGTCTGGAACTATTTTCATGGGTAAGTTAGTTGTGTATCCATTCCTTCTTCCTTGATGCATTTCTAAAAAATTATTCTGACTTTGGTAACAGAATATGCTTAATCTGTTGCTAGGGAAGAAGTCACACTCATTCTAAAGACTCCTTATGCTTCATGCTCACCTTAAATTTTCCTTCAGTGTGCAATCATGGCAAAGGTTCATTCCTATACAACATTTATAGGCTAAAGGTAATCATTTTCTCTCAAACAGGAGAAGGCGTTGACAGAGTCTGACCTGACCAGTGGTAGACGACGCCTACGTCCAGTCAAGTCTGCAGAGTCGTTAGCCTCGGGCCAGACGTCGGCCAGATCGTCAAGCTGTCTGGAGCCCCCCTCACCCCCCACCCCACCACACACGGCCCCCCCGCATCTCCCCGGGGGTCACAACCGCAGCGTGAGTCACGACTCCTACTTTGACACTCTGACTGCGGGCGACACGACACCTCGACACAACAACACCACACTACTGCAGGAGGAGGATGAAGAGGGTAAGCGAAAATAGAATGTTTGTGAGTTTTGGGATTTTATAACTCAAGAAAAATATATTGTTTAGTAATAAATACAAAGTACCAATAACTTTGGTGCCTGTCACAAATTTGAAACAAGAAAATTTCAAAAACTTTAATTATTACCGAGCATTTCTAAAATTGTGTAAACCATTCAAATTTTCTAGTCAATTAAAAGGTTCTCAAATTTTAGTCTATTTCTCTTCACCTGAATTTCAAAAAACTTACAAAGTATCTTTAAGCAGTGATTTTTTATCAAATATCATCTGTATGGATCAGGCAATACCAATTGTTTATTCAAATATATACTAATGAATGAGAAAGGCAACTAACTCACCTGAATAAAAAGTCCCAGGAGAACACATAAATAATAGAACACATGAAGGTAACAAAACTGATATTTTGCCCCTAGAATGAAGAACAATCTTTCTTCTACTACAACCTTTCTCCTAACAATAACCCCAAAGCCAAGTTTTTTTTTCTTAAAAAGTACATGTACTATTGAATGATCCACTCGCAGAATGAGTGCTTTCAAAATGTTTTTCCCTTTTTTTCGGAACTGTGATATTTAATGTAAAAAATGCTATAGTTTGACATATGTTATCCTTTATATTTGGCTGGGTGAAAAAGTTTGTGTATTCATCATTTGTTTTGTCAGTAGCTCAATTTAACTACAATAAGTTTCATCCTGAAAGAAACTAACAATAGCTTTCACTTAACAAAACACCTTGAATAAGCTACAGCTACAGTTTGGTCATCAATCAAACATTTTTAATAAAAATCTCTCAAGAAGTCCAATATTTTTAATTATTGAATGAACGAAGTGAATTCTCATACTGGGGTGAAATGCATCTTTATGTTGATCGAAATCTCGAGAATGCCTAAAGTTATAAACTTGATGTGTTGCACAAAGATTCTATACCACTTTATCTTGCGACCATTAGTTGTTGAAAAATATTTGTTCCGTAATTATTATAAAATCTTAAAAAAACATTTTTAATTTTGTCCCATAAGATTAACATTATGAGCTACCTTCTTCTTCTTTTCATTTGTTTACATTTTACGACCTACAATTTTGTCGTTTACTTGAGACAAAGAGAACGACTACTCTTTCATCCATAGAGTAACAGTAAAACCGTATTCACATTATAACTCTACAATTTCTAGGATAATAATGTATTTACGAAAATAGTGACAGGAGTTAACAAATTATCTACTAAAATGTATCGCAATTGATTGAAAAATAAATATTTACATGTTTATTCTACAAGCTACGTTTCTTCAGTAGGCTGTGCTATATAATAAGTACGACGCGACGGTAAACGATGCCGTGGGTGAAAGTCTACTAACTTATTGTTTCCTAACTTGCTAAAAGTTAAGTGGTTTAGTGTTATCTTTGACTAATTAATATTAGATAAGATTTCACTATCTAATAATCAATGGTTTTAGTTATTTTCGTTCTGGTTGTTCTAAATTAAATTTCAGTTCTCGCGTCGGTGGCTTTATCTATTCAGTCAGTCATTCAAATGTTGCCCCAAAATATTTAGATAAGTTACTGTACTTTCATATTACTGTATAAAGACTTTTTTTTTATCAAATAAGGGTTTTTTCATTTAATATATCTTTTTTTTCATCGGTCGTCTGCAGTTCACTCGCTAACTAAGACAGAATCAGAAATGCTGCCTTAAGTTAAGTTTAGTCTTAGAACATACTCCTCAAGGTTTAGTGCATTCTGCTAATTGATAATAAGACGGCAACCTAAGTAGGTTTCAAAAGTTTGTGAATAAAATCCTATCCATTTAAATTTCGTAGGTAAGTAATGCAATCAAACTGCATTTTAGATTCAACTCAAACCTCATTCATTAAGTTAAGGTTAACCTAAAACAAGTAGACTCAGTTCTGATGAAGAGTGGATGAAACTCAGCCAATGGACACAAGAATAGGCAATAGGAAGGAGCTTTCCCGACTTTGGTCTGAATAAGTGACAAATTTTAGTGAGTTTAATATTGAACTCTCAGTCGACTATGTGTAAACTGAGCTTATGGACCCTTCATCAAGTATTGAACACTAAATACCGTAGGTCAATAAGTGGGAACCTACTGCTTCAAAGAGCTAACTTAGCCCTCATAAAATAATGCTGCTAAGGGCCCATAACAAAAGGACTACGCAGATAACCAAGAAGTGAAGATCAAGACGTACGGTACGAGCAGACATGAAATTGGGCTCACAGGTCTGCATCGATTGTACCAAGGCAGTGGAAGAATGGTGAGACAGACAATCAGAATGCTGAGGTAGATAATCTTAACTTCAAAATATAGCCTAAACAGTATAAACTTTTGAAGGAAGGCGGTGAAGCGAGGAAGTGCTGTGTCATGTAACGTTGTTTTGTGTAAAGTGTGTCTGTTACATTAATTGCCTAGACGGCCGTGTTGCCTAGCCTAGGTATGGCCTGTCAAGTGTTTTGTTAAAAATCTGTGTCTAATGATGTCACAGTACTATGTTTATTTGTTCATACAACAATCTGTGTTTAATGTGTTTTTCACCGTCAAAGAATGTAGGCCTACGGTAGAAAGTTTAAACTAAGAAAGGTAGGCCTTAATATAACCCTAACTTACCTAAATAGACCTAAAAAAGTAATGTATCCTATAACTTCCTTTTAGCTACTATATATCTGTGTCCTTATAGTAGGCCTACCTACTTAGATTAAGTTACCCATCTTCAGGGGAACAGTTTCGCAGAGAACCTAGCCTACGATAATTTATCAGATGAAATATTTTTCTTTAACTTAAACCCTATATGCGATAACTTATCGTAATCGGTTCACTTTTAGGCGATACAACTTACCGTACCTATTTATCATGTAGGCCAAGGCCTATTTCAATATTGAACAATTTATGCCTAAGACCTTTTTTTAAGGAGACTCTTTACACTGTGTAGCCTACTTTTTAGTTTATAATAGGCCTAATAACAAAGGTAACATTTCTAAAAATCAACATGAATCTTTTGTGTATGATTTGTTAAAGAGATAAATTTTTAAATACATAAGTTAGGCTACGGTAAGTTAACTTTGATCTTTTTCATGAGTTTATAAAAATGTAGGCTATTTTCCTTACCTATGTTACCTACTGGGTAAGTTACAGTTCCGCAGAGAACCAACAATAACTTAATTATTTTATCAGATGAATAACTACTTATCGGTTTGATTTTAACTTAACTTAATATCGTAGGCCTAGGCCTATTGAATTTAAGTTCATCATACATTTACCATAGGCTATGATAAGTTATAAATAAAAAAAATAACGTTTAAAAAATCCCACTTCCCAGAGCCATAGGTACACCTACCGAGGTAACCAAACATTAAAGAAGCATTTTATTGTTTTATCCTTGATTGTTTTGTTTTGTTATTAGGTAGGCCTAGGCCTATTTGTTTTGTTTCTTTTGGGTACACTTCCATATCTGTTGGCACAAACAACCGAATGAGAAATATCGATCGATATATCGAACTAAACAATCGAATAATTAATATTACTCATTCGGTTGTTTGTGCCAAAGATATGAAACTGTACCCTTTCTTTTTAATAGGCCTAACTTAAATCAATTTGATGTTTAGCGACATACATTGGAAAAAAAGATTTTTTTAAATCGAAAAATTGAATCGGATAAATATTGATATGCATTGTTAAGATTAAATGAATTTAACTTACTCATCCGATAAAATATTTGGCAATTATTTAGTATGTCTACATTGAGAAATGATGTAATTTTTAGATGTTTCCTTACAGTATTTTTCACGCTGATTCCAAAAATGCAATCCGTTTTTGTCGGAAAGATTCCTAAGTGGATGTAAAACGAAGGCTAAAATTACGAATCTAAGGTTCATTTCGCGGTTCGGATGGTAATATGGCGTGGTCTGGACGGGTCCGAATGTGGGCTGAGGACTGTGTGAACAAAGCAAACAGCTGTTTATACTTGACTCAATGCGGAATTAAATCAAATTGTTTTGAAACTAAATAATCAGCTCTTAGTTAGGCATGTGGGGAAGGTAGGTTGGGTTTTATGTTAATTTGTGACTGTATTAAGTGTTTTGAAGTTAGGTTCGATTAGGAAGGTAAAGTTTAGGTTATAACGAACCGGCTCATTAATTTATGCTACCTCCAGACTGTCTTTGCACAATTGAAATAGTGGTTGAAACACAATGAAATAACAAGATAAAAAATGCTTGCAAATAAAACAAATTGAAATATTTATCTTGTTATTTTTACCTTAAATTCAATTTCCATAGGTAGGCCTACAGTACTTGATTTGTTTCTATATACAGGCTTCTATTCTTCTGGTAACATGGTCCTACAGGTTAAAATACTTAAATAATAACATTGTTATGCATTTTAAATAGTAACATTGTTTTGCATCTTCCCTTAAGAAGGAGTTACAGATTACTTATAAAGAAAATGATTTTTATAAAATAAAAAAGAATATAAGATGTTTTAACATTAAAACCTAATGAACTATGCATTAAAAATTCAATAAAAATTAAAAAGAGAAAAAAACTGTTAGTAGAAGTTTTGAACTTGCCCGACCGGGATTTGAACCAGGGACTCTAGCATTGAACTCCGATCACTTAGCCACTACACCACGACCACTTCTAATCACGAAATGTAACGAAAGTCATTACGAATACGAGAATCTAGGTCTCGTAATTGTAAGAACATTTCCCAAAAATTGTCTTGCTCGGTAAAACTTTTACCAAACGAAATTCGACTGACTACAACAGTTCCTACAGATTTAATCATTTATTGATCTCATAGGCCTATCTATCAATGAAGTAAAAAAATTGTAATATTTTAAAGAAAATGTCAAGAGGGGTTCACCAGTTAATTAATATAATAAAAAAAGTAAGCCATAGATAAGTTAGGCCTACACACAATGTTATCGTAGGCTAACTTAAGTACTTTAATACTTTTTTTTAATGGTCCTTTACTTATGCTAAAACAAATGGTTGGCAACCATATGACACAAAAACAACATTGATTGTGAAAGGCCTACAATAAACAACACTCTACAAACCAAACAAATTAAAACTATTTTTTTTACTCATGCGTTAATTTAGTTAAAGTTTTTTTCATTTTCTCTGTCAATGGTTACTATCTTTTTTAGGCTTGGATTTTATGAGAATAAAGTGTGGATAACATAAAATGTTAGTTTGTCTCTTAAAACACAAATTTTACCAATTTCATATTCCATATCTGGTCAGATCTGGATGCCAGATACGATCAGATCTGTGATGCCAGATCTGAACTAATTCCATATCTGGTTAGATATGGGTGCCAGATCTGGAATATGTCCAGATATGTCATCCCAGATCTGGCCAGATATAGAATCCAGATCTGGGACCAGTCCACTTTCCCATAAGGGTTACTAACACCATTTTATGGCATCAAACTATTGAATATTATTCATAAGAATTCCGAATTAACCACAGTACTCAAATTGCCATTCGCGATAGACCTAGGGTACTCTTGCATTACTTGCTCTAGCTTTTATAATTAACATTATTTCTTCAATTTATGATAGGGCCAGGGGCCATCACATAAGGTTTAAAATCTTTTAAATGTTATGTTTTTTTTTAAACTTTTATGGTTGATATAGGGGATAGAGTCTTACTGTTATTCAGTGCTCGATTTGGGGAGAATGCAGTGGAATGGAGTTCCGGTACCTCTCTTTCAGAAAGATAAAAATATTTGCATAAATAGTTACCAACATAAATAGATATTTCATTACATTTCATTTGACTTCAGTTAAAAAGGTAGCCTTAAAAAAACTTGAAATGAATGATGAACGGTTTGCTGAATATAAGAAAGAATGGTATAAATATTAATAATTCTCTCAATGAACCGTAACAACGTGGTTAGAACGAGGTTTTTACCAAAAAGTTTGCCGAAATCTTTAAAATTTGAATTCAGGGGATTTGGTGGGTAATCAAGACTTGATTCCGGCTAATTCCGGGGATTACCACCGGATTTTGCGGGTAAAATTGTGTTGGCAACGCTGGTCATCACTGCCACTGTCGCCGCACGAACTTGCGGCGGGCCGCAGAGGCAGGGTTAAGGGGCACCTACATGGAATTGTCTTCGTTCATTCTCATACGCGACTTCGGAGCGTACTCCTAGTATTTAGTATTTGTCTACATCTGAACTCACTCTCTTGGATACAGTAAATGTTGAACGTATATTGCAAAGATGTTTAGAAAATCATATTTAAATGGTAGGAACTGAACAACATCACAACCTCAAGGTGTAAGACTCTACTAGTTATATGTTTCTATACTAACATTGCCTCATGTAATCCCTACTCCTGACCACTTGCCACTCCTTCTCATACAATCTGCCTGTGTCTCTTTCTGCAGGACTGTCTTTGTCTATAGACCTGAGCGAGCTGCAAGTCAATTTTGACTTTGAGGAGTCGGACATGAGGATCTTCTCTGAAGACGAAACCAATCAGCTGTTTAGCAGCCACACCAGTTTGGAGAATCAGGTATATGGGTAAAGTTACTTACAAATATTTTTACTAAACTGTTTTCAGGGAGTTTGAAATTGGGAATTTCAGCTGGGAGTACTAACTTTACAGCTTGAGAACCAAATTTCTGCCACTATGATTTAGAAAATAAATTGTCAGATTTGATTCCATGTGACTTTCTGTGAGGCTATACCAAAGACAGAATTTATATCCCACTTTTGCCTGATTCGCTTAAAAAACTAAGAACATAAAAAACAGAAATGTGGAATTCCTTTACTTCAGCTTCATACAATTTTACCAATGTATTGAAGAAATGGACTGACGTTTTATTTTTGTTTAAACTTGTTGAATTAAGTTTGTCTGTTATTAAAGTATGATATTGCTCTTTCGTTTTTAAATACCCTGTATTTTGTTTTTTGGGGATTTAAAATTGCATAAATTAAACTGTTGAAAAATGGTAAACTCCTGTAAAATTGTGTTTTTGCCTATCAATATAATAAATTGTTCAAGCACTAAACCATATCACTCCCATTAGTGACAAATTATCTTATTATTAAACAGAAAAATTAAATTGTTCATATTTAAGTTGTTGTGCATACTTCTTAAGAGGCGTTTTCTTTTTTTATTTGGGATATTTTATTCTGGAAGTTTTGCCTTGCTACAAAGTAATTTCCTGCAAAAGTTTCTTCTTTGATTTTTGCGTGTTAAATACAATTTTATTTTAATCCAGGTAAGCAAGAAACAACCATTGCTTGCAAGAGCAGAGGATTCTTCGTCTGATCCATCACCAAAGAAGCACAAAACGGGAAGCAACTCTTCGACAAATCGCAGCAAAAGGTCGAGACTTGAGGAGCGGTTGTCGAATGCCGAGCTTCGCTACATAGACAGCGGGTCCCCTGACCAGGTAAATTACAAACAGGATTCCTATTCAGGAACAGTATTTACTATCCAAAGCTGCTAGTTTAGTTTCAAATAATTTAGTATGTTTTTGGCTGATGCTTAGAAATCACAAAAATCACTGCTGGCTATGCACCACGATCATACTACATTGTGTTAGTTATCACACTGGCAAGGGCTAATTTAGTTGTTTTAGAATAGGAAACTTTTTTTATTTTGATGCTAAATATATTAAATAGATTTTTATCTTGGTCATTAAGAAATTTTACAATAATTTTTTTAATCTTTTAATAATTTTTTTATTGTATGTTGTACAAAATTTGTATTATCTTAGATGTAAAATTTGATCAATCTTATTAGTGTTTTTAGTAGCAGATAGTGATGTTATACAGTAAAAAGTTATTAAAACCACAGTAAAAAGAAACTTTTATCCCAGTCATTAGCTGTAGTGATGTTAGTTAGTTGCTGAATGTACCACTCCCTCCACTAGTTGAGTTTGATAAACAATTTCTTAAACGTTTATTACAATTTTTCAGAATGGAAAATAATGTCATTATTTATTCCGGATGAACTTGGTCCTTGTTAATAAAAACATGTAGGGTAATTTGAAAACCGTGATGGTGTAATTAAAACAGCAATAAAGTGCATTTATATTTACATCTGTAAAACTTTGTTTTTCATCAAAGCTTTATGAATTTTATAAATTATTGTGTATACCATATAACCTTGGCTTGAAAGCTTGCCCACTCTAAACTGTTAAAAATATCAATAGTTATATGATGAAGTAATATGATGAATTACTCTTAAAACTATCTGTTTAAAAGAGACTACTACTTTTATTTGTGCTTTGTGTATTATTTTATCTCACTGTAATCAGTGAACTGTTATCAGTGAGGAGAACGCTATCAGTGAGCTAAGATTAGTGACCTGAGATCAGTGATCAGTTTGCTGTGAGCTGGTGGAGGAGAGGCGGTTGGTATTGCAATGTTGGTGTTGTAGGTAGAGACGAGAGCCGAGATTCACACAAGTCCACCATCACAAGAGCACAGTCCCTCGCTGGCCGAGGCAACAGTGTCAGAGAACGAGAGCCTCACACTGTCAGGTCTGACCACCCCTGACACCCCCACCCCTCACCCCGTCACTACCCCGCAGTACACCCCCCTCACAGACGAGTCCCCCTCGCCACAGCCGCCTCAGTATGAGAACGTTTCCCGAAACAGACTCAGCTTTCAGGGGTTCTTGAAAAACGGGGACTTGGGGATTTGTACAAACCACAAGTCCGATAACGAGATCCAGTACGAGAATCTGGACGGAGAAGACTTCTGTAGGATAGACTGCAACATCACTGCGGAAATAATGGACGCCGTCATGTCGGAATCGAAAATGCTCAAGTACGAAGAGGTCAAAGAGAGCTCTATTTACGAATCGGTCGACGACGATAAGAAGGAGAACTTTTACGAGAATGTGACTTTGTTGGAAGACTCGGAGCTGTATGAACCAGTGATGAAAAGCCCTTACGAGGAAATTCCTAACCAGGAGTGTTTGGTCGGAGAGAGGTTGCGGATCAGCTCTTTGGGATCACTCATAAGCCCTGCTGAGGCAGACAGAGAAAACGATTACGAGTGTTTGGTCTTAGACTCGAGTCCTGACTCCAACCATAACCTTCCTCCCCCCTCCACCCCTGCAGTCAACCCAGAGGAACACCTCTACGAAGACGTCCAGGTCAGTGTTTGAACCTCTCGGCTTAGTTTTGGTTTTGATCTTTACTTTATTAAAGCATGAGAAAACTAACCTGTGTTATTTTTTCCTTTCTCTCTTAATCAATTGCATGATTTTAAACTATTTAATTTACCTAGTTTTTTGAGTGGTAACGGAGATGTTTCTGTTTGTAGTGCAAGTGAGTCATGTATGTGTAGTTGGAGTAGTGTTACATTCTGCTGGTTTTCTTCTTAATAACGGTTAAATAATTAAACTAACAACACATGATCTAGTCATTTTGCTGAGACATTGTTTTGTTTTTTGACCAAACAACAATTGTTATTCATTTAAGTCAAAGGTACAACTTAAATAATATAAAAGGTGTATTGGTTGGTTGTAAACAAAGGAGTTACTGGTCTTATAGGGCATTCGATTTTGATTATGACTCTCCACATTTCAATTATATTAACAAGCAACAAATTGATTAAACACACTTTTTAGTATCAAAATGCTTATCTTGGAAACCTATCTATGAAAAATAATTGTAAATATTCTTTTACATAAAATTCCAAACAACTTTTGAGAAAAATTAGAGTTAGATGTATGCCTTCTTTTGCTACTGATCATTGTTTTAACATTTACAGACCATGGCAATAACAACTTAAAAGCTTGAATGATTAAAATCTGTTAAAAGCTGGTCAAAGATCATAAAATAAGATTTATTATGATTCAAATTTGACAAGAATCATCAAGTAAGGCAGGGTAAGGCCAGAGATTGAATATGTAAACAAATACAAATGTTGTTTTGTCAGATTTGCAGTCTTGATAAATAATGTATGACAAAAGTAGTTATCAGAATGGGAAGGGGAAGATAAAGGTGGCCTTGGAATTCCACAGTTGCACACATGATCAAAGTATTTACTAGCTGCATACCATACAGATGAGCACTTCACATGTGTTGCTTATGCGTAGGTATGTGAGAGTTTGTTTCATGAAGCATTTTGTAGGTTTTCGTTTTCACAATTATATATTATATGCTTTACTGTTGGAACTTTAGTACAGTGCAACACAAAAACCTCAACAATTGAAATTTTTACAACTTCTTTATTTTAACTAGCAATTTCATATGGGTAAATTAAAAAATGTTAATTATATTTTTATCTATTTTGCGTCTTAGGTTGTATTTTGACAACCAATAACTGTTTGCCTTGCGAACAAGTTAAATATGATTGCAAATTAATTATTATCGTATATAAAGATTGAATGATTTTGATGTGATGTTTGATGTGGTTTCATAAATCAATTTTAAGTCTAAGGAATAATTCTAATAAAGATAAACAGCTGTGTTAATCAATTTTCACTGCATAATCTGTGATTATTTCACAAGACTTTGATCGGAATTTGATATTCAAAATGACTGGATTTTGATTTTGCCATAACTATTGGCTGCATGTTTTGGTTGATGCAAGTCACTTACCACTTGTGAAATATTCAAATCTGATAATTTTGGAATGTTTTACCAAATAAACAGGCTATCATAGTAACTCTCATTAGAATGTGAATAGGGAAACTTGAATGTGAGAAGTATGACTAAGCTATGGAAGTATGACTTACTGAAGAAGGTCAATCTTGATAATTTCTAGTTTCTACCCACACTATGTTCAATTATTTTTTTGTAATCTATTATTTTTCATATTCATTTTTTCTTCTAAATTACTTTTAGTTACTTTGTTTGAACACCTGTTTCCTGTATTGATTGACATTAATAGTTAAGATTCTGGGATGATACTGCAGTGATAAGTTACGCGAAACTCACGAAGTACGGTACAATAGTTGTTAATGTGTATGTTTTTTGCTAAGTCATATGCTATATTTTATATTCTATTCATATTTATGCTCCTCCTTTCTTCTACCCCAATATGATAGTTCCATTTCAAATATATTCGCTGTTATTTTTAAAACAAAGCGAAGATACCAATGAGCAATTTTCAATATTTTGCTCAGTCTTTCACAAAATCAAAACTATCAATCAAAATCAATCATCGATCTAAATCAATCTGTAAAACTGCTGGGAATTCACATAGACTCAAAGCTCACATGGAATGACCATGTTGTAAATTTGTGTAAAAAACTCTCAAGGGTCAATTGTTTGTTTTGGAAACTGAGCTCCATAATCTCTACTGACTATCTGAGGACTGCCTATTTCGGACTCTTTCAGTCTCATATTGCTTATGGTCTCATACTTTGGGGACACTCTGCAAATGTCTCAGATGCCCTGATTCTTCAAAAAAAATTAATTAGAACCATTTGTCAAGCCAGGCCTGGAGATCATAGTAGATGTCTTTTCAAACAATTGAAGATTCCTACAATTATTAACTTGTATATTTATCATGTATTAATATTCACAAAAACAAATCTAAATTCTTTTTTTATTAGACGTGAGGTACACAATCACAATACCAGGAAAAAACAAACTTGAAATCCCGCAACATAGGTTAACAAAGTTTGGAAATTCTTACATGGTAAATTGTGTTAAATTTTTTAATAAGCTTCCCGATAATGCTCACACCACTCCTCTTAAAGGCTTCAAAACCAAGATGTATCAATGGCTTCTAGACAATCCATTCTTTACTATTAATGAGTTTATGGCCACCAACATAGATAATATATTTTAAGTTTTCAAATTAATGATAAGCATTAACTTTTGTTTGTTTGGATGAGGTTTACCAATTTTATTAATTTAATGTTTATGAAGCTGTTGTTTGGGTACTAGGCTGGAGTTGCAACTTTAGTTTTAATTTAAATATATTTAGATATTATTGATGATTATTATCGATATTATTGATATTATTTGATGTTATTGACTGTATATATATATTTATGTTGACCATGCCCATCTCATGTAAAAATGATCAACGGCAATAAATATCTTATCTTATCTTATCTTATCTTATTATGTAGCAGGTATTTTAATACCACTTTAAAGTTTGCAACACAACTCTCCAATTCACAAATTAACTTCAATCTCATAATCGATTTCACAGATGTTAGTTCCTCAAATAGGTTCTTAAGAATTTCTACATCAACTCCTTAAAACTTTATTGAGATATACCAGGCATCAAATCCAAGTTCATCTGTCTCACACCAAAATCTGAGATGCAAATGACAACACTAGTACACACCCCATGTGGTTGGCTATATTCTTCAACAAGCAGTTGAGGGAATTGTTCGCTCTTTTGTTATCTTTGAGAGCCCTTTAAACATTATCAATATTTACCAATTGTCTGTATGTTCCAGACTGTGCCACTGGCTGACTCTCTGGTCTACCAACAAGTGAAGTACCTGAAGCGGTCAGTCCATGAGATCAACCAGCTGTTGGAGGAGACCATGGAACCGTTCACTGCAGAGGACGTTTCATCTCTGGAGGAAGAGGAAACTGCTCTCATCAGTCCGATGAACAACGGAACTCCAGACAAGGCCATCGAGAGTGTCAGATCTCCCGTGAGCAACATCAAGTCCGCAGGGCCGGACCAGAACACCTCGGTCTCCAGGAGGTTTGAGGAAGCCAGACTCGAGTCATCCGACAGCCTAAACACTCCGACAATGCAAACGGAAAGTGTCACTTCAGTATCAGTCAGTCCGCTTTTGGAAACCAACAATATTGTATCAACAGAAGGAAGCGATAAGGATTTGCTGTACGAAAACTCGACGATGGATGATGTTGAAGCGATCTCAACCAGCTACGAAGAACCCGGACGAAGCGTGGAAATGCTATTTGACTACTCAAATTCAAAATCTGCTCAAGAATCTCTGCAAGATCAGAACCGGAGTGTGGAAATGGTTTGTGACACAAACTCAAAATCTGCTATGGACGACGACAGAAGTGTAGACATGATTTGCGAGGAATCAAATTCCAAGTCTCAAGATTCTGTACAGGGTACGGGGCAAAGTGTGGAAATGCTGCTTGAGTCAAATTCAAGGTCGAAAGATTCACTCGAACAAGAACAGAGTGTGGGTTTGTTTGGTGAAAACACTAATTCAAAATCTACACAAGAATCTCTTGAAGGGCATGAGAAAATTGTTTCGGGAAAGCTGGAAAACAGTTCGACCAGTGATAAAGATACGGACAAACAGATAGATTGTCATCTGAGTGAAATGGATAGCTTTGACACGTCCAGGGATTGTAGAGCTCTCAGCTATAGTTTGGATGGCAGCACTTGCAAGATTGAGTCTGAAAAGGAATGCAAGATGGTCGAGGAGCCAGAGACTAATTCCAGTAGCACTACAGGTAACATTTCTTCTTAATTAGATCAAGTTAATTTACTAAAATTGAATCCTCTTTGCTATCAAACACTTTTCCAGCACAAAGGTCATATGTGTGTGCATTTTCCTAATTTAATGTGCAGAAGTGGACATTGATGTACACCATTTTTATTTTGTACACTGAGATTTAAGGAAATTGTAATTGAGTTGAACTTTGACCCTTAAAACAACTTCAAACTCAACTTCAAACAAACTCAAAAAGACGCTTAAATTAAGTGTACAAAATGAGATATAAGACTAGTATTATTTTAAAAACTAGGGTTTTCAGTGGAACCTCTTTAATCCGAACATCCGTAATCCAAAGATCCACTAATCCAAATGCCTCATTGCTGTACTCTATACACAGTACAGTAGTACTTTATTGTATACTGTATTTATTGATATACCCACCGTAATTGTTTCTTCTGTAATATACAGTTTATTCACAATGTACAGTTTATTCACAAGTATACTGACACTGCATTAAATAAACACAATATTTTTCTTTATAATGTATTTTTCACTTTACCCGTAACAATTACGAACAATTTTAGCCACGTTTTAGCTATTGTTATGTAAAAACAACAATGTTCTGTAATCCAAACTATTCAATAGTCCGAACTACCCCTGGTCCACATTAGTTCAGATTAAAGAGGTTCTACTGTATTTTTGTTTTTGAAACAATATCAATTCCCTTTAAATGTGTTTCACATGCTTCGTTGGATTATTTGTTGACAGGTCACACGACCAACAGTGGACGCAACGTGCACGAGCTCATGTCGAGGTTCGAGTGGTCCCAGTCTCGAGACTCGCTTCCACCTTGTCAGAAGGCGAGGGTCAGTCGTCAGAACAGCAAAGACAACGCACCGACGTTGACAACATCACTGGACGCTTCAACCTTCCCCTCGGACAACCAACCTCTGACCAGAGTCAAGACGTCTCCGGACCTCATCCAGAACCAGGATAACCTGGAGCAGAAACAGTCCGACAACTCAGTGGACTCAGAGGCTGTGCGGAGAGAAAGGATAGAGAAGTACAAGGAGGAGAGAAGAACGTTCCTGAGGAAGAAGTACAGGACGGATAGTTTCAACAACAATGACGACAAAGACGAAGAGATGATCAGGAGGTTGAAGGCGAAAGCAAATGTGAGAGCAGTAGACACTGATGAAAACAACTGTGGTGGGGGAGATTCCCTGGAGAGTATGGAATGGTCCCGGCGATCTCCCTCCCGTAAACTTGAGGACAGTGGGAACGAGCAGGTACTGCGAGAAAAGGAATTGGAAAACCGGCTTTCTGACTCTAAACCATTGAAAAAGTCACCGAGTAAAACCTTAGTTAGTATATCGTATTCACCGACCAAGACGAAAGCACCTGGATGGGATTCTTGTCCGAAGAACAAGTCTCCTGAAATTGAAAGGATACCTGATAGAATAGTGTTTAATAGATCGGTTAGTCTAAATACAGACTATGGAAGTGCAAGGGACGCTAAAAGTGTTAGTGACAGGAGGCACCGACCGGAAGATCTTAATCTGTCTGGGATATCTTCGTTTAAGAAGGACGACAGTGTGTTGCCGAAAGTGGGGAAGTCTGAAAGGAGATCTTGGAGGGGTAGTGAGGAGTGTAGGTCACCAGACGAGAGTTTGGTCCAGAGAAGAGTCAACCAGCTGTCCTCGTCGTTTACTGAAGTCATCAAGAACGACTCCGATTCTTCTGACTTCAAGAGGAGGACATCTTTGACAGATCTTGTTAAGCCTCCAAGGTATGTTGTGATATAACCATTTTACTTTATCGGGTTGTGTTTTAAATTTTAAATTTACATTTTTATGAAAAACTTGTACCCTCATTATGGAAAAGATAATGGTAATTTGAATTAGTAATTTTCTCAATTGGTTGTCAATTCGTTTTTGTTCTATAATTATTCAACTGAAGTGAGCCATTTCGGTACTTAATTCATTACCATGAAAGTCTTTGTTAGGATTAGTAGTAAAAAAACTTAGACCTTTTGTAAACTGTTGGTTGATTTGATTGAAGAGCTCACTTTTTATGAGGTACAAGCAAGTTACCGATTTTAGGTGAGCCTAAAATTTATGATTTATTTGGGTTTTTTTTACAAATGTTACTTAAGTTTTGATGACTTTTCTTCTAATTTGAACGTTTTTATCCTGTAGCTCAAGTCGGCAGCGAGCTAATAGTGGGAGCTCCAAATCGCCTTCCTACTGCATTCGTGATATGGCTGCCATGTTTGAAAAAAGGGACATCAAGTAATCCTTCACCGTTCAAGCTTTAATTTATTTAACTAAATATAACTCTTATAATAATGATGAATATCTAGGTGATCTTGAAAGACATTCACACTAGCAAAGTTGATCTTAAACGTTTTATACTTTTTCATTATGCTCATTAAAATATTTCCTTGTAGAAACCATTACTCAATTCACACAAATTTGCTGTGCATAGATTTAATGATATGGTATTTTCTGAGATGTCAAACTTTTAAGGCTTTCAGGTATTCTAATTTATGTTTGAGATCAAATCTTATTTCTTATTTGTTATCTTTAGGTATTAAAATTCATACTAAAGTTGATAATTTACTTTTCAATATTTGCGTGTAACACCAATCATTTTTTGCTCAAGAAGAAACAGTTATACGATATGAATCGTTTATTTTTAAATTTGACATCAAGACAAAAACAGATCAAACAAAAGCTGTGTTTCTGTGATAAATTCCATTGCTTACGTTTGGCATTTTCCAACACACCTTTCGAAACTCCAAATTTTGTTAACCAAAGACAATCAACATTCGACCAATACAGTGAACATTTTTCATTGTTTAATGCTGAAATGATCGGTGTCTATGATACTCCCGCTGTAGGCCTACCCATGTCTAACATGTCTATGAAAAGCTGTGGTATCAATGTTATTGATGTAGTCTACAGTTATTACAACCTGACAAAGTGATTAACTCTTAGCAATACTCTATGCATGATAGTTATATCTTTTGCACAACTGAATGTCACAAAGATAATTTTACCTACAGATTGTCGTCATAAATATATAAAGGCTACTTACAGTCTTCGCAATCCTGAGTTAATTGAGCACTACGGCCGTTTCGGAGATAACTCCATCGTCGGGTGCGTAGTCAAGTCATCAAGATTGTCATATTTGAAATCTTCAGCAAGTAATGTTTTACGTTAAATTTTAATCCATCATATTTAACAGTTTTGATTTTTTCAAGTTGAAATGTGTAAAAGTAACTGAATTTTTTTTTCTTTTCAAGTGCACAAAATTTAAGTATTTGAATAAGTAATAGATATTTTTTATTTCATTCCAATATGTAAATTGTCTACCTACTATATCCCTCTGAAACGAAGGAGAATAGAAACCCAACTCCAGGATTCTCTTTTGTAACCCTTGTGGCCTGCTAGTGGAAAGTAAGAAAAGAAAATTGTGAATATATAATACTGTTAAATAGAATCAGAAAACATTGACATAGTTGCTGTACTCTGCTTCATTGTTTAGTGCCTGATGGTCAAACCGCTTTAGGCTTCCGTGTCGAAGTTGTGTCAAATAAATATTTAATTGCCAAACTGTGAATAGTTGGAAATATATAGAGATATAGATATTTTGGAACATGTTATTTAGACCAATACTCAATACACTTTTGTAATATTTGGACAGATTCTTTTCCTGTCAGGAGTTTTTATAGCTGAAACATTAATACGTCATAGTTCATCTATTGTAACTTACAGTATAACATTCAAATCCTAATATTCAACGTCTTGTAAAAAATAGGAAGTTATAATATTGTTACTTAATAATATATTTACAAAAATAATACTTCTTGTTGTGACATACTATCACTTCTAAAGCATAATGGAAAATATATATACAAATTTATTAAATTAATTAGAACTATCTATCCAATATTTATTAACATTTTCTGTTAGGTAGTTACGAGCAAAAAATATAAGTACTTTTTGTCATTAATAACTTTCAAAATTTGATGTGAAATAGCATTATTTTAATCATTATAACACAAATCTAATCCAATTCTAACAAAAGGGACATTTAGTCGGTAAACAAGCAGTTTTGTTAGAATGGGACCCAAAGATATATTTAGGACTAAATACTAAATGTACATATAAATTTATGGTCTTAGTTATCGTTAGATATCTGTTTAAGAAATTGTGTAAATATATTTTGCTGAAATATTGATAACACTAGTTTTGTGTTGTTCATGTATGTATATTTTGAATCACAAGTTTTTATGTGTACATTGTGAAAAGAAACGTTCTCATTGTTTTGTTGTTACATGTTGTGTTCATAATGTAAAAAAAATTAACTAGTCAGTAATAAATATATCTAAATTTTTAGATTCTGTACTTTCTCTCAATGTTTAACCCCAATTCATTTATTTAAAATTAATGTTTATTTTTTTATATTTTTTGTATATTGAAAACTCCTTAAAAGGACAATAAAAGCTTTTGTTTCTAAAATATTTCTTTACAAGTACCATTAGTTTAGAATGTGCTTCTTTTATTGTTTTATACAACCATCAAGTAAATGTATAGATTTAAATTAGTCTTTTAATTTAAAATTAATATGACTGAAAGCTTTGTTTATATTTTTATTTCTGTCACACTGTTTTGTTGATATTGAGGTATTGTACACCATAAATGAATAAAACTTTCAGTATTACAGTTTGTGATGTTATTTTTTTACATTCTTCCTTTCTCTTTTGTTACGTTCTTTTAGTTTCATGATGGGTTAGCCTCTGGATCGTAAATTGCAATATAAAAATGGTTTATTTTACCTTTTTGCGTCGAGCGATCCGTGTGTAGTTAGTACAACTACAGCTGTTTCATACCACTAGGGTACATCATCAGGTTGTTGGCAGAACGTTAGATAAAACAGCATTCATTCATAGATGAACTTGTCGAAATAAATATGTCTATATACACATAATACACGAAAAACATTTAAAAAACACGAATTTACAAACTTGGCCAAGTAACGAACACACGAGACAGGCGCCGATGGATGTTAGTCATAGTCATAGTCATAGTCAAAGTTCTTTATTCATTTTTTGTACATAGTTTGTACAGTAAATAGCGTCATATATAATACAATACTAAATCTAATTAAAATCTACTATTTACAGTTAACCAAGCAAAAATGAAAAGTAATAACAAAAATAATTATATCTACAGTAGGTTATATCTGGGAGGTGGAAAATTCTTCTATGGAGTAAGGGGCCAGTTGTATTAAATATTCTTTCAGCAATTTCCTGAACTTATTTAAATTATTTTCTCTTCTTATGTTTTCTGGAATATATTTAAGAAAAGTATATCCTGTGTAGGTTGGTTTCTTTTCAAAAAACTTTAATCTATGTGGCAGGATAACCTCATTTCTCTTTCTAGTATTATACGAATGAGCTGGGGACTTAAAATTGATAGTTGTACAATTCTTTGCAATGAGAGTAGTTTCAATAATATATTGCCCGTAAACAGTTAAAATATTTAGATTTTTGAAATGTTCTTTTGCTGGTGCATCATACTCTAACTTAAGCATGATCCTGATTGCTCGTTTTTGCTGTTTTAATATTTTTTCCAAATTTAAATTTTTTGTTGAACCATACAGCGCTATGCAGAACAATATATGAGAGTGAACATGGGCGAAATAAATATTTTTTAATGTTTTCAGATCACAGTAATAAGACATTTTAGATAATGCGTGAATTCCTGAATTAATTTTGCCCAAAATTTTATGCACATGTTCGTCCCAACTCAGATTTTGATCTACTGTCAGTCCCAAAAAATTTATACTTTTTTCGTGTTCAATGTTATGGTTATCATGTATTATTAAAGGTTCTAGTAGTATTTTACTTTGAGCTGTCTTGAACATTACAAATTTAGTTTTTTGTGGATTTAAAAGTAAATTGTGATTTCTCAAATAGTTTCCAAGGTTTTCCAATTCAATGTAAGAACACACTTCAGTTTCTTCTTGTGAGGCAGTTGATAAAACGAGATTTGAATCATCAGCGTAAAGACACAACTTACTATTAAGCTTATAGATTAATGCGCTGTTTACTCCTCTCAGGTAGCAAAGAAAAAGCAAAGGCCCAAGAATTGATCCTTGAGGTACTCCAAACCTGATTGGCTTACAATTTGATGATATTTTAGTAATTTTATTATATTTAGTTAAGTGGGAAATTTCTACATACTGAGATCTATCATGGAGGTAAGAACTGAACCAATTTAAAGCATTTTGAGAGAGACCAAGAACCTGAAGTTTTTCTATTAGCTTTGAATGTCTAACACTATCAAAAGCTTTTGAGATATCCATAAATATACCTGTTGTAAAATTTCCTTTGTCTACTGAGTCTATAACAGACTCAATGAAAGATACAGCAGCACTAACAACTGACCTACCATGTCTGAACCCATGCTGGTTATCATCCAATAAGTTATTTGTTTCCAAAAATTCAGATAACTGCAAATGCACTGCTTTCTCAAATATCTTAGAGACAGATGATAGTACAGATATTGGTCGGTAGTTTAAAACGTCTGCTGTATCATTCTTTTTGTGTAATGGAATTATTTTTGCAAGCTTTAATTGTTTTGGAAATATGCCTGATACAAAGGACGAATTTATTAGATGACATAAGACTTTACTTAATTTACTTTTAACAGCTTTAATTACTGTCACTGGCAATTCATCATGACCATATGAATTTTTATTTTTTAAAGATTCTATAATTTTTTCCACCTCCCTTTCATTTAATTGTTTAAATCTAAACTTAGGTTTTACAGTCAGATGACAGTTTGAGTTAATGATTACATCTTCCTTGACAAAGCTACTGTCACTACTTTTATCTACGTCTGTTACACTATTAATGAAATGATCATTAAAGGTATTCGAGATTAAGTGTGGGTCAGAAATTGTTTCAGTACCTACTTTAAGATTAAAATTAGAAAATTGTTTTTCCTGCTTATCCCCAATTTCAGAGTTAATTATACTCCACACTGTTTTTTGTATGTTTGAAGAATTATTAATTTTACTGTTGAAAAAATCTTTTTTTGTTTGGATTAGTTTAGTCTTATAATCTTTCTTTTCCTGGTCTAACTGATATTTCAATCTACTATTTTTATTCTTGCGATACTCCTTGGTTAGTTCTATTATAGTAGTTCGTTTGGTTTTTAAGTCCTCTGTAATCCAAACTTGTTTTTTATTATTTTTTGTGATTAACGTTCTTGGAAAAGCTAGATCAAAATAATAAAATAATAATTTGTGAAAGTTATCATATTTATCCTCCACAGCAGCGTTATATACATCAGTCCATGTTTCTTTAGACAAAAAAGAAGAAAAAAGGTCAATGTTTACTGGTGAAAACTTGCGTATTTCTTGTTTTTTAGGACGCCCAATATTTTTTTTTAAATTGTTTGATTTAATTTCTAGTAACTGACCGTCATGATCAGATAAAAAGGTTATTAGACCTTCTACCTTAATTTTAGATGAATCTATATTTTTTATTAAAAAATTATCAATAGCTGTTTTTGTGTTTTCTGTAACCCTTGTAGGAAAATCAACTAGGTATTTCATATTATGGCTTTTTAACATTTCTTTGAATAATTTGTGTTTGTTATCATTTTTAAGTACATTAATGTTAAAATCCCCTGCTACAACCAATTTGTCACATTTCTTATCCAAATACTCAATAAGAATACTTAACCTATCTAAAAATATGCTTACAATTGAATTAGGTGATCTGTAAATTCCTACTATAATATACTTTTGTTTATTTATAATAAAGCTACTGGCACAAAACTCAAATTGCATATCTTCTAACAAAACATCACTCAGTGACTCAGGCACAGTCATCCCCCTCAACTCAAACTCCATATTTGATAAAATCATAACACCACCTTTAGATGTATTTTTTCTTGCAAAATATGATTTCACTGTGTAACAATTATTAATGTTAAGACGGTTGATTTCTTCCTCTTTCATGGCGTGTTCTGTTAATATTATAATATGAGGTTTTATTTCATTGAGTGTTACTTGTAAAGAATTGATTCTGGAAGGTAAATGCATGATATTTTGATGAAAAATTGAAACTGAATATTTGAACTGTGCTACTTTATTGGTGGAGTCACTTGATGTAACAAGTTTAAAGTCTTGTGAGGTGACTGAACCATAGAGCCACCGAGGCTTGAACATACTGGATCACTCATAGCACTATCACTGTTACTCTGCTCTAGCGCCTCCTTATATGAGAGGTCGCCGGGTGCCACAATCACTTTTACACATTGGCTTGCTGTTGTTGAAGTAAGGTGAGATGGTACAGGGGTGACGGATGCAGTAGGTGTCTCGGTGTTGACAGTTGCAGAATCAATGGCAGTCTCCACAAGATCAATGACATCAGCGACAGGTTCAATGGGTATTGCTTCAGCTTCAGTAGAAATTGATGTGTTGGTTTTAGGTATCTCGCTTACTAGTTGTTTCATCCGCAGCATGAAGTCCTTGTAGGTTAAACCGTTCTTTAGCATCTGAAGAGGTTTGTGCGAATAACAAACTATAGTGACCTTAGCTTTAGTACTTTTTTGAAAATGAAGGATGTTATTTATAAAGTGATCTGGACTTACTTTGTCTCGAATACAGCCCATTGGGGAGCATATTAGATGTCTTAGCCCCCTGTTTTTGAAATCTTCGGTAAGGTCTTTGAAAGCAACATCATAGTTAGTTTTGTCCGGTTTTTCAAAATATCTTGATTTAGTTATTAAGCTGTAGATAGAGGCACCATTGTTGCGTCATGACTGCTGTCGTGTGTCCAAGCATCAGCTGTTACCCCTCCCCCCCAACTCCTTTATCAGGACCAGTTTTGTTTTGGTTTAAATGAATGGCAGTATTGTAGATGATATTAGATCTGAATGAAATTTGTTCGTTCAATATATGGTCAGGGTGTTCTTTGGATGCCTTGTATATTTCGAACTCCTCTATTGGAAAACCAAAGAACACCCTGACCATATATTGAACGAACAAATTTCATTCAGATCTAATATCATCTACCTACAATACTGCCATTCATTTAAACCAAAACAAAACTGGTCCTGATAAAGGAGTTGGGGGGGAGGGGTAACAGCTGATGCTTGGACACACGACAGCAGTCATGACGCAACATCCATCGGCGCCTGTCTCGTGTGTTCGTTACTTGGCCAAGTTTGTAAATTCGTGTTTTTTAAATGTTTTTCGTGTATTATGTGTATATAGACATATTTATTTCGACAAGTTCATCTATGAATGAATGCTGTTTTATCTAACGTTCTGCCAACAACCTGATGATGTACCCTAGTGGTATGAAACAGCTGTAGTTGTACTAACTACACACGGATCGCTCGACGCAAAAAGGTAAAATAAACCATTTTTATATTCTTTTAGTTGCCAACCTTACGGCAAGAGAACAACAAATACGGCGATTGAGCGAGGCGGGACGGCGTGATTTAGAGCGACACGACAGGTACTGGAAAATATAATGTTCTAGGACTTTCTCAAACCTTCTCAATCAGAAAACAAAAACTACCCAGAACGCTCTGGTACATTTTAGGATTTTCTTGGACAATCTGTAAGGTCGTTCAACCTTGGTTGTTACTTGCTTTCCGGAATCAATCTATTAATATTTAATCTATTACTTGATTAATTGTGCATTGACCCCTTGTGATATAATTGTTGTACAATGGATGTAGAATTGTTGATCGCCTGTGTTCATGAACGATGTTCTATATGGCAAGTTAAACATAAAAACCATTACAACAGAGAAGTAACAAATATTGGGATGAGATTGCATCAGCACTGCAGGCAACGTAAGTAAAACTCGTGGTTATTAGCCGTAGTGTTACATTTATTCAAAAAGAGACGTGACAATTAATTAACGTGCTTTACAAATGAACAAAACTAGACAGTTAAACAAAATTGTTACAACAAATAATTCTAATAAAAACTATTAAAAACAATAACAAATCATCTGGAATGTCTACAATTTTGGAGTTTGCTAACTTGGCTCACTAATAATTACTTGGCAACATGAGTGAGTACATGGCCTAAGTCCATTTAAAAAGCACTGTACTCACCTTCCAGAATATTGTTTATGTTTATGTACTTTGTGAACCTATTCGGATCTTCTTGGCTCTGCTTGTGTATCTGTTGTTTCTACGGTGCCTGTGAATGGGACCACACCTCTGTCCTATGAAACATACTTCCCTTTACACTGGGTCACGGCTTCCGTCTCTTTTCCGTAATATATTGTGAAGAAGGCAATCACATTTTATGATTCTTATTGCGTTTTATACATAAGTTTCAATGCTTTTGGTCAAAATATGCCATTTTGCAAACAATATGCCAAATGCACATTCAATATTGTCGGGCACCCGAAAGCCTGTAGTTGAACTTTGTTTTGGCTGGTGAAGTTTTTTTCGAGCATATGGTCTCATGAGATACATTTTTAGTGGATAAGCTTCATCAGCCACAAGCACATGGTGGAGCTGTGATATTTTTTTGAGGCAGGTTACAATCCGGAGGCATGTAAAATGTGTAATTATTCAAGGCAGTTAAACAAAGCAGACAAGGAAAATGCACCGTCATCAGCTTGAATTCCTTTCCCACCAACTTGAATCACTAAAAACGTGTAGTCTTGATCAGAATCAGCTTGCTTGTAGGACCACAGAAAAAAACTTATTGTAATATTGATATACAGAATGGTTAGACTTTACCATAATTTCTTTATTTAAGTCATATGTTTTCTAATTATTAAAATTTTAGTGTTTACTTTCAAAAATGTAAATAAATATTGAGTTGAGTGAGTAAATGAATGAGAAAACCATGTCCACTTTTCTGAGTAAATATTTATAATTTCTTTACAGAATGTGGTGGGCATTTAATTTGAGATGCTTGCCATCAAGTGCTCCTACATAATTTGGGAAGTTCCAAAGTTTCAAAAACCCTTCTTTAGATGTGTTCAATAATTCTATTCTTCTGTTGTTTCAATGACGATTTTTGAACGATCGAGTTGCCCACCCGAAAAAGAAGCACTGGTTGCCAAGTACCTAAAAGCTAATACAAACATTAGCTATAGATTAGGGATGGTCCTTTTACATAAATGTGTTTTATCATTACTTGGCATTAATAATACATTTTTTTTTTCAGTGGACGCTGCAAAGACTAAATGGAAGAATTTGAAAGAATAGTAGTACAAAGAGTTATAGAATATAAAGAAAAATACCTATGGAGATGAAGATGAAGGGCTACAACAGCTATCCAAGTGTCCATACTTCCTTTGCTTCAGTTTTTAAAAGAGGGACTGAATAACTCACAGTTAAGTGGAAATCTACGATCAAGGATTGGAACAAAGGAAAACAATGACAGTGAGACTGAAGACGATATGGTTATTGGTTACAGAACTGCTGTAGAAAACAATGAAGGTGACCTAGGACAGAACCCAGGAACAAGACCTAAAAGAGAAGAGCCGCTGTCTATGTACCTCTCAAGAGAAAAGAAAACGAAAACGTCAAAAACAGTTGTGAAGAAGATGGATAGTGTTGGAGGAGAAAAAGGTATAGTTAATGGGCAACATAAACAACCAGCCGGCCAATGAAGATTCAGAAGACTATCATTTTCTTATGAGTTTACTTCCACAATTGAAAGATTTATCCCCCCTGCAGAAGCTCATAGCGTGTGAAATAAGCTAACTGAAGTAGTGATTAATGAAATAAATTCTGATCTGACCAATCTTATTCAGGTACTTCCCGCTCAGGAATTACTACATTCAATTTCGATGATAATGAATATCATCGAACAATGAACAAATAACTCAAGCAACCTTTGTAAGTAAGTCCTAACTATTTAATAAACCCGATTCTAATCACAGCCATTGTTCAATTATTTTTGCTTATATGTCTTTAACAATTAAGAACATTATGTAAACCATTGAGATATGAAGGTAAAAGGGGCTTGTATTGGATGTGTTATGTATTAACAAATAAATTATTTCTCACCGTAGTTTATTTATCTCAATTAATTAACAAAACAGAATAATATCTCTTACCTTATACTAGTTAACCCCTGGGCATATTGGTTTCCTTCAATTGGTTGTCTGCGTCAAGTTATTAAAGAACGCAATCAAAGGTCGAGATAGACAATACGCATGTATTGCATGAATCGGGATTCATGCTTCTAAGAACTGGAAAAATTGTGATATTCACCATGCACCTCCCTTCCTTCATTCACTTCATGCACCCATTCCGCCCAGTTGAAGCTTGCAAAATCAATGTTTTTAACCACTTGTTTTCGCTGTGCTCTAAATTGCTTGCGAATTTACTTTGTGACATCTTGGAACTGATCGAGCTCCCGTTCGTGTCTCTCTCGCTAGTCGCTACATGTGTGCGACATCAATCGATCTCAGTCGCGCTCCTCTCTCAATCGCTCTATATGTATTTTTACCCTTAAGACTCGTAAAAATTGAAGTGGCAACTTCTGTCGTATCTGGATATTCTAGAGGGGATGAAAATTTGGTGTAGTATGATATGTCAGATTTGTGAAGGCGAAACCCAGCTCAAAACATACTAATTAATGCAAAAGTTCAAAGTTTGTTAGTTTGTTTATGCTCAAGCCATCACTAGGCTCATTCATTTTACAAACTACAAACCAAAATCATTATATCAAGTATTAATAAACTTGAAAACATGTTATGAACAGTATACTATAAGTGCATGTATCATTAAAAGTCATTCAAATCTAAAATAATCACAACCCCTTGTGATTCAGTGCATTCCTTAACAATCAAGTTTCAGTAGTTGAGCTTTTTCTATTAATGATCTCTAAGGGGAATTAAAAACTCAGCATATCTTGTTAATTTGTATTTATTTATCGAGATACAAACAATTAATTACAAGTCTATTTCCAAAATACAAATGTGCGTAACTGAAGTAATCCATTCACAGCCTTTCCTTGTCCAGATTTGGACTTTGCACAACTTATGTTAATGAACCTTAGCACTGCTGTCAACAATGTTATGTGCTAAATGTTTTAACAACACTGTAATACCTATTAGTAGAATATAACAGTAAAACAGGTATAAAATTAAGTTGGTAAAATATTTTCTGATTTGTGTGTACAAGATAACTTTTTGTCATCTTATAGATTTACAGACATGTAACTGAACCATCAAAACAAAAACCCTTCAATAAGTAAATTCTAACCCTTGGTATACGATTATCTTTGCATTCTGTAGACACAGTACAAGGTTCATAGTTTTCTCACGTGTGCATTCATAACATACAGCAGCACATCGAATCTTGCCTTACAAAATATAAATCTTATTCCACACCTAATGGACTACCGCTATATATTTATGTTTACACAATGAAAATAAAGTGAGACGATACAGGTTACTCTCACATAAATAAAATTTGTGTCACAGTGTATTCAATTTCAACATATCACAGGAGTTTCGGTTTTATTTACAGTTTTGTACATTGCGGTTATGGGTCGAACAGATAAATCAAATTCATATAAAGTATAAACAGTTAAAATTTACAATTAAAAATGTAATAAAAAAGAAGGAACGGTACGCAATTGTGCTATAAGGTTAAAATGCAATGAAATTGTTAAATGCATTTATTTACTTATAAAAAAATAAAACAATCCAAAAGAGTAATTTGATAAATATATCCATTGATTCTGAACGATTAAATTCATCTCACAAAACCTGCTTCAACTACTGATATTAAATAAGAAAACTTAGTTTAGAATGTAGTGAAGGAATTCATAGGCTGGTAACCTCACAATGTGAAATTTCCATACTCTAAATTGGAGCAGCATGGTTGCAAACTAAGTTTGCTAAGATTATACAATGAGACCAGATATATTTTTCTATAAAAACACCGTGGTGAGCTACAAGTTATGTAATTGTGTTGATTATCACTGCCTTGACTACCTAGAAACCTATGGTAAGTGACCGACAAAATGCGAAGAACACTGTACCCTTGTTGACTAATCAATTACTTAATCAATTTCCCGTTAAAAAATTAAGACAGTTTTTTTTCATTCCTCAAGGTTCTAGCACGGGATTGTTTTTCCACATTACTTCAGGCTAGGTTTGGAGGTACTCGCAGCATTACCAATTTAGATAAAATCTATTGGTGATTGGCAGGATTTGAACCTGGGACCTTGGGGACTGAAGTACTGAGCTCTATAAGAGACCAGCTTGATCCCTAACTCTGAACCAGTTACAAAGCTAGGTGGTTTCTACGCTGTGAGACAATGCTGTACCGGTATCCACAAATGTTCAAGTCACGTACCATAGTTATTAAGATTAGTTATCGTGGCAGTGAAATACTTGCTAAAACATTTTTTCGAGTGAAATCAAAATGTTATAGCTAAGTTTTTATGATAAGGGTGGGCAACAAGATTTTATGAAAAGTACTCATGGCTCACACAAAATATAAAAGCCAAAACCACTTTCAAGGATCAAGTTATGTTTGTTAACCTTAGGTAAATAATAAACAATAGGCTTAACGAATGAACAGTGTCACTGCATGGTAATTGAAATAATTCTATAATATCGACAAACATATTTCACGTATACTAATAAAAACTACTCATATGCTACTTTTCTCTCCTTTAATTTTTGATTCCCTAATCAACTCAAAGTCACTACTCGCCCACCCCAATAAAATATGTTTAAGTTATTAAAGATTGAAAAATAATTATGGGCATTTTTAGTGAAAGTGAAAATGTATCAATGATTTCAGAAATATAATCTTGTTCACTGGCTATAATATATGTGAACAAATAACTAAAAATGTAAAACATACTTAAGTAAATAACAAAATGAGCGATTTCTACAAAACCTTTTCTTCCAAACCCTAACTGCCTCTAGAGTATACGACCATTTACGAAAAACAGGATAAAAAATACAATAAAGGTAATTCAATGTATTCAATACTTATAAGACTAAAGGTTCACACAGTAGAATACAATTAAGTAGTTTGAAAAGAAAGTTTTTCATAATGCATAATTCAATTCTGAACTGTCATTTGGCCTGAAATTTACTAGAAATAAAATATCCAAAATTAACAAGTTAAAACCTAGTCAGCCTTCTTTACTGAAATACTGTTGACTTAAGTTTCCAGTTTGGGAGATAATATGGACACAAAAATCTCACTGTAAAATCTTTTAAATAGGATGCACCTTCAATAGTTTTCAATCACACTGCAATTTAGAAAATTATTTGCAGCTAAATAAAAGTTAGAACAGTAAACTTTAATAAAAGATAAAGAGATTTAAACATGTGCATTTTTAGCTTTTAGAAGAAAGAGCGCTCTGATTTTTGTGTAGGAGCAAAATATGAAATCATTATGTTTTGATTTTGTTGTGCTGTCAATTGCCTGAGACTTTTTCATAGGCAAGTTAATTATACATTAATTCATTCTTTCTCAATGAGAACAAAATTCAGGCTAACCTAAGCCAAAATAGAATACTCAAATCAATAGAAAAATTAGCTAAGCACCAGGAACTACTCTTGGTGTATGTAGTTGGCCGGCTTGGCCATAGGAATTTAATGGAGCAGACGACAACACAAATGTCATATGGTAAAAAAAATTTTATTGTTTTTTTAGAAAAATATTTTTTGTAAACAGTAGGCTAGTTGTGGATTTTTAACTGAAAATTTATTACAATAACTTTTAAAACTTCCGTTTTAGATGTCGGAATCATTAAACTCCAATTATTAATTATGTGATAAAAATCCTTTAAATGGAAACTGTCTCGCCCCTTTATTTTGATATATCGAAGTTTTACCATAACGATCACATATTAAACTTCATACTCATTGAAAGATCACTTTAAAATAAAAAGACCCCTTCGCACCAGTTTAAACTATCAACTTCAACTAGACAGGAAAACAATTTTATACTGAACCAAGCCACAAATTTTGCCATAAAAATAACATCCCAAACTGGAAAACTGGGGTTCCGAAATGTACCTGAAAGTGAACTAAGGGGGAATGTAGGGTTAATCTTTCTTGGCGCAATTGTCACACACGCGGACAGGATCTGTCCAGCCTCGGTGGGGGACGGGACGGCGACGAGAGGAGCAGCGGGGACACACACCTCCGCCACAGTCTCGGCAGTGATGGGGCCTGAGGCGGGGGGGAGCGAACGAGGTGGAGCAGACGCAACACTCCTTGATGTCAACGTCTGGCACCCAGTAGCTCGGCCTAGCTGAGTCCTTGATGACAGCTGCAATTGCGATAAACACAACCTTTAATATGATGATCTGTATTTGAAATTAGTTATTGCCAAAAAGTTTGATTATGAAACATCCCCATTCCACACAAAAACTATGCTTAAACCTGAGAAAATTAAAATACAGGTCTACAAAATACACACATCTAAAGGGATTTTTATGACATGGTTCCAAGCCCCCAGGTGCTAGTTTTCAACATTATTATTTGTCCTTAAAATGCAATAAAAAATGTATTGTCCTTGGAGTAGTAGACAATGGTACCAAAATCCCCTTCTCAATCTTATTTTCTTCACATTTTACTGTTTAGTTTCCTCAAAATTCCAATATTAAAAAAATTAAATTTGGACAAAAAGTTTGTAGGACAAATTTATGCCAATAACTACTTAACCGTATTACACAAATACATAGAGAATCGTACATACATTTTGGATACTCAAGCACATATTGCATGACCGAGCTGACAGCATTGACTGTAGTTTCTCCGTACTTGCGAGCTCTCACTTCAGCGTCATCTGCCCCAAGACTGGTGTTGGACTCCGAACTGACGTCTCCGTTATTTTCTGTGAAAATAACATCAAATGTGAGGAAATCTAACCTTAGTGGACTTGATTGAAAAACCCAAAGAGACTGTGTTACATGCAATTTTTACAATGCAGAGATTGTCAGTTGGATAAGGCAAAAAAATATATTTGCCCTAAAAATATTGCAAATTGCAACATTGTCAAGCCCTTTGGTCAAACAGTTTAAACAGCAACCTTGCACCTTTATTTGATTTTGTCAAATATTTTTAGTTTGAATTTTGGGTGAACATATTCTTTTTAGGCCCCCTTAAACACAAAAAAAAAAGGTTTTCAAACTGTGTCTGCCAACTAGTGGCCTAATCTGAAAACTCAGGGGAAACACACACTCGTTCAAATCACCAGTGGATTTTATCTAAGTGATAATGCCAACCCCTAGGACTAGCCTGAAGTAATGTGAAAAACAATCCCAGGCTTTTGCCTATCGTCCTAGGACAAAAAAGAAGAAAGAAATGCTAAAGGACAACCAGATCCACTTTCTAACCATCAAAAAACTATTGAGTGAACTGACAAACTTTTGATTTGTACTAGTATACTCAGCTACCCAGATACCTAAGCACAATACTAACTCAAGTTACTTACTGTAGCACTTGTCACACACTCTGACCGGGTACTCCCAACCTCTCTCAGGCACTGTGCGAGAGTGTGATGAACAGTCCTCACAGACTCCTTCGCCACAGGCACGACAGTGATGTTTGGTGTCGCCAGCACCAAACACTCGTCGACAGACACAGCAGCTCTGTAACAGACCAACATGTTGTTTATAGGCATATCCCAGCGAGCACATAATAATAATAATAATAGAGAGGACACGGCGTTTAACCAAATGCACTGAAAGTGTGGCCAAATCCGCCATCTTGGTCCGTCATACAGCCTGAATCCAAGACCCGCGAGCACAGTTCGCATTAAAAACCCCGCGACAAATACACGATCATAAACAACATTAATAGTTGTCAAAAAATTCTGAAATTTTGCACACTTGTAGATATGATACTGAGGAAAACGATGGTGTTAATATAAAATTATTAGTTATGATAGGAATTGAGTTATAAATATGTTTAATACTTATATAGTTTAATTTTTCAGATTCAGACATGAAAAAGTTGTATTGCGAGGAAATTTTTTATTTTTTGGTCAGAGAAATTTCGTTAGCGGGAAAGTTGTGGACAAATAACCAAATTTAACTATCCGATTCACCAAAAATTTTTATCATGTTCGGTTATCTAAAAAATCAGGTACAAAAGGGATCCATTGCCGCTGCGCCGCCAGGCCGTCGTCTTTACATTTAGTGTGCAGTGTTTTAATGTTTTATACTGTTGTACTGTAATATTGTATATATTAAAGAAATTTTCAAATATAGATTCAAGATTCAAAGAGTCTTTATTCACACAGTACAAATTTTCGTACATGAATAGTGTCTATTGTTACTTACTACCTAAATTAGCAATAAGAAACATTTAAACAAAATACTATAGGCTACTTTATTTTAAATTGAAATTACTATAATCTTCTATTTTGTAAGGTGCAAGGTCAAGTAAGAATGCCTTCAGATTTTTCATAAATTTAGATTTGTCTTTTTCTTTTTTTAAAAAGCTAGGAAGTTTTCTAAAAAAATAGTTTCTAATATAAGAAGGTTTATTTTTAAAAAGTTCAAGTCTTGGTTTTTCTTTAGCTAAATAATTTTTACCCCTTGTATTATAATTATGCACAGGCAATTCTTAAGTCTCAGCAATATTTAAAAAATATTTAATTGTTTCAAAAATATATAAGGCGTGAACTGTCTAAACTGTACTGTCTGTCTGTATAAGGCGTATATTGTCTATGTAGAATTTTCAACCGTTTAGCACAACCTTTTAAGGACTAATTAGCTTTCAATATCATCCAAGATAAACTAAAGATAATTCTGTGAGTTAAATTAAACTTCCCAAATACGTATATCTGTAAAATTACACTCAATTTATTGTCCCAGAAAAATTACAGTTTTATTGAGATGTTGCCTGATTTTATTTTTGTGAAGATTTTCGTTACTTATTTTACAGTAGTAGCGAACTCTAACATTGAAATATTTTAGGTACTAAACAAAAATGATTTTTGTCCATATTGTTTCATATCCTAAGAAATATGTACTATTTGGAAACAAATTTACTCCTACACATTGTCCAAGTACTTTGTTCGTCAAGTCCTCAATTACATTGTTTTCCTTTACACTAATACCATTAACTTTATATATTACGACTAGCGCGCTGCACACGCCGGGACTAATGTCGGGGAAATAAATATGTGCTTGAGTTTGAGCCTAAAGGCGGTTTCACACTGGCGTCCGCGGACGATAATTTTGTCCGCGGACGGATTAAATGATTCGGATGGATGCTACGCGCCCTTCACATTGCGAGCTACGTTTCAAATGTCCACTCATTCGCGCATGCGCATATGGAGTTGGCCATTCCTACTACAATCATAGATTAAACATACTTCCTCTTACAACTCAGTGAAGGTGTGCAAAATGTCTGAGCCTTCTGTCCCATGGTGTCAACCCGGATTTTCTGTTCTGTGGATTGATTCAAGTAGTGATGATAGTGACGACGAGGTTGTAGGCCCTACTTTTGTACTTATTATCAAAAAGGAGGAAGTGGGTTCATCCAATTAACAGTAAGCGGCAGCGATTTGGTGAATCATTGTAATAATGCAAATAATCAAAGTAATACAAATCTAATAATGATTTACTGTACAGTAATTCGTATAATATACATGGTTATTGGTTAGGATACTTTATTCTCTTTGTAATCTCTGTGGAGTGTAGTCGCAATTTCCAACCAAATTTTATCTTTCTCTTGTTGATCTCTATAAATTTCTATAGTTGTATCCCAGATAACTGGGTAGGCACGGACAGCCTCAATTAATTCAGCCATAACAAACAACAAGGGAGGACACAAAACAACAACTAGATGAACACTATGACTGTAAACACAAACTACTGAACACTGTGATGCGAGTGACACATGCCTTGCTGAGAGCTACTGCTCTGTCTGCGCATGCGCGAGGGCGTGATCGTCCGCGGACGTTTTAGAAAAATCGCTCCCAGAGCGATTCCACCAAATCGTCCACGGACGAATTTCTGCATCCGCGGATGGACGCTACGTTTCAATGGGCGGTGTGAACGGTCCCATCTGATAACATGGGCAGCGATTTATTTTCGCATCCGTCCGCGGACGAAGAAATCGTCCGCGGATGCCAGTGTGAAACCGCCTTAAATATCTCTTGAGATTAACTATTTGATTTTGTTGAGACAAAAATTAAATATAAACTAGTTTAAATACATTTTACGTAGTAACAATTTAAACAATTTCCGTTTACCAGAAAAATTTTTTTAGTTGAAAGATTCTAAAAAGTATCAGTTTTTAAGAAACTCTGTACTAACACTGAAGTTTAAAACTTAATTGTAAACAAACCACTAAGCCAATCTTTCTGAAATTTGTATGGCTTATTGGTAGATTGTTAACAGTTCCATGCATTTTAAAATTTTTACTCACGATAGTTTTTATGCTGATGTTTATTTTTAAAACGTATGCTAACATCGTTAATAAGACGCTAAAAATTTCGTTCAAAATATCATCGTGTTTGTCGTGACACAAGAAATAACACCAATATGACAGATTTATAATGCGAACAAAGGTGTTTTTTAAACAGATATATATTTGTAAACACAAATTTCTCCCGCAACTGGCAGGCCGATTGGCTCAGTGGTTTGTTTACAATTTAATTTTAAACTTCAGTGTTAGTGCAGAGTTTCGTAAAACCCGGTACTTTTTAGGATCTTTCAACAATATAAATTTTGCTGGTAAACGGATTTTTTTTATTGCTACCACGTAAAATGTATTTAAACCAGCTTACATTTAATTTTTGTTTCAACAAAATTCGATTATTCATCTCTGAGATATTTAGGCTCAAACTCGAGTGCACATATTTATTTCCCCCATAGGTAGGCTAGCGCCGCCATCTTTGTCCGTTTCGCCGGCTAGTAAGACTGACACGCTCCTGCGCTCCGAGTAGCGCTTCTATTTTGTTATGTGTTCGCTGGGCATATCCATTAACATTAGATAGAGGTCTGCAGGTCGCTGATAAATTTTAGGTTAGGTCAGGCCAACAGTTTCAGTTTTCAAGTAGGAAAAATGTTCAGGCCAAACTCGGGTCAGGTCGTACAAAGAATGCGTCTGCTAAACTGGAAAATTAATATTTTAGCCATGACTGCCTGTAGTGTTTACCGATTTGTTACAATTGACGGACACATTGATGATTTTGCTGTGCACAGCAGATGTTCTTGAGTCTACTGTGGCCGCAGAAAAAATTATATTTTCCAATTGATTTGTTTAAGACCGTGGAAGACTTCCCCAATTTCGCCAAGACCACAGAAGATGATCTAGATTTCACTGTGATATGGGGAGATCAAGTACAATTATTATGTAGAAAACCAATTGTGGTACTGTATCGTTAATACTTGAAAAACTCAATAATTTCCATAAAAAAAAAAACAATCTGATTTTGGCCCAATACTCAAGGGCCAAATTTTTTGACCCAACTCGAAGTAAAAGGTCATACCTGCCGACCCTTAATTTGAGATAGCGCAACCAGTTTTGGACACACCAGCTCCTTAAGTATATTTTACTCTTTTAGTAGGCCTATCTCGTCCTTTAGTATATTTTTTTAGTGCCACTGTTGTAAATCCCAAAAGAGAAACAAATTTCTAGTAAAGTAGATACTAGAAACCCTTTGACCCAACCAGTCTATAATCTGTTAACTCACCCGAATTTCATGGTTGGGCCTCCAATACTTAGGAGCTATCTGATCTGCCAAGAAAGACGTTAGGGCTTTGGTGGGGGGCGAGCTTACGTTAACCACTCCATCAAACACATAACTCATGCTATCTATAACTCGCTGGGCTGAGTTCTGCGTGCTCAACGCACTGCAAGGGCTCTGTAACATAAATATCACATCATTAGTTCAGCAATAAGGAGTTTAGACTACATAAGCTAACAAAATATGCATAGCACGAATATTATTAACAGAAACTGTATGGATAATAAACATAAACAAATTGTGTCACTGGTCCGAAAGTAAATATGTTTTTATTTATATTCAAATAAAACTGTCAAAAGATTTCCAAACCCAATTGAAATGGCTATTAGTTCAGACATTCGGTCCAGTGACGTCATTTATTTATCGTGTTAAATTATGAATATTCAAATATCGTATGCAAAACCATAAAATGATGCATCTCACATTTTGAACTGCATTTGAGCTACATTTTGAACTGCAAAATCCGGTAATCTGGGGATATCCGGTGATATGGCAACCCTATTCACAAAAAATATTGCCTCTAACAAACTAACAGCTAGTAAAAGACAAAGTTTACAAGAACACTTTACTAAGCCGTACCCCAGGCCAGACGTGAGTGTACTCGGAACGCACGGCAGTCATCTCTGGTGGAGTGTTCCCGTACCAGAACTGACGGCTTCGGTAGATCTCGCCACAATGGGGACACTCTATGACGTACCTGTAACATCAACGTCAATTTATCTTTGTCCGTCAGATCAACAGAGAAAGTAACAAGAACACTACTGAGCAGACACGCAGACAGAACTTATGTCCATGTATGATGATTTCTAGGAAAATATTGTATAATATCTAAAAAAAAGATGTTTGAAGCTATTTTAAAACTTAATTGATATTTTGTTATTTTCTATGATTTTATTTGAAGTCATTAAAAATTTAGTATAGCTATTAGCTATTAACAATTATTTACTAGAATTGACAGTTGTTTGGTATTCTGTAGTAAAGTATTCTGAAGTATTCTGTGTATATTCAATGCCAATAGCTAGTTATTAGTAAATAATTTTACTAAACAGGGATGGTACACTACAACCTACAAATTAATTATGAATTAAAAGGGTGTGGGATGATTTAAAGAGGGTTTGAATAGTGACAAGACCACCTTTTACTTTTGCCTTTTCCTTTTTTTAAGAGATGAAAGGTTCTTAAGAAATTTGGTTGCAGTTAAACCTTGTTTTAAAATCTTAACTTGTTCGCTCTGACCTAATTGAATTCCATGTGTACTAAATACCACAGACTTGTCGACGTACATCATTGTGTCGACATAACCAAAATCTGCTCAATTTGGAATACCCGTGGCCACGTCCAGTACTGCATAAAACCTAATTACACGGTATAAATTAGTATCTACGACATTTTAAAATTTTCATTAGGGTATCAGGTTAAGATTTTTTCCAAATAACCTTTAGCCAACTTTTCAGAAATGACAAACAAACTGCGATCGGTCAGAGCAACAAGATGAGGAACAGGGTGTATACTAATTTGCGGTCTAGAGTAGTTGTACTCGGAGAGATGGGTGTACTAGGGGTGGGAGGGTTTCAGGAAAATATATTGGGTACTATGAGGTTAGGTTAGGAAATGTTCAAGCTTGTTTAGTCAAATATAAAGTGGATGGAAGTCACATACCAAAACAAGTGTACACCTTCTACTTTATCTGTATGACTCTTGTTTTCGGCATACAGTTAAATAAGATAACGTAAATCGGAATAATATTTAACAAATTGTTAGGGTTAACGCAAAATGGACAACATTACCCTTGACTTTGAATAGGAGCAAAAATTGAACACAACGGCGGGACATGCATGCTTAATACAAATTAACCTACCCTGACCAAGCGTACTTAGCAAGTCCAAACCAAGACGTTTCACTGCTAGATGAGTATTCAGGCGAGACTATGACTTCCTTGCCTTGAGTATGGCAAGCCTTGCAAAGGTAGAGGCAGTTGTTGAACTGATGTTGGAATCTGCCACAAAAACATACATCGTGATGAAATACTGACAGTTGGTGAATTATGAGACGTCAAGATGATTGGAATTGGGCTGCCTCATTTCACAATATCACATAGACAGAAATTTTAGTTTCACACGTTTTTTCCACCTTTGATTTTGTTTTTTCTATTTAACCCCAAAAACATTGTATTTTCACAAATCGGTTCAAACGATTTTGATTAAATTTTAATTGTCATATCCCTTTTAACTCTAAACAAAATTATACAACGCTGTTAAAGAGTTCAAAGCTATTACAAATTTTGTAACGTTACCTATAAAATATCATAGTAACTCCCACTGCTTAAAGACAAGAACTGTTGACAACCTAATGGGAGATCATATGAGATAGATTGCTGATACCGTTTATTTATGATGTATCTACATATGGAGTGAAGCTCATCCTGTACTCAAATAAGCCAGCACTTCTCAAAACATTCCTTCAAACCTTGCTAATTCAACATCCTCAGTTATTCAAAATTGTAATTAAAAATTAACAAAGAAAAACCAGTTTAAATTTTCAAACTCTTGCTGCATCAGGGGTGTTTACCTGCACTTGTGTTTGTTGGTGTGTGGTTGGTTCTCACTCATATGTCCCATGCTGAGGTCACACCTTCGGTCACAAGACAGACACACGGCAGGGCAAGTGAAGTACTGGTCGGGGAACAGCGGGGGCCCCTTGTTGTCAAGTCTGCCACTGAACTTGTCATTCAGTATCTAGATAAACAAACAGAATGTCACAAAACCGCCTAAACAGCATGCTAGTTGTGTTCAAGGAAAAGCTCTAGGCCAGGATTTTGAATTACAGAATGAAGAGGATAGCAGTTTTTTTTTTTTACCTTGAAGTACAGGTAGGCCTATGAGCACATAGAAGACACACAAATATTGTGTGTCTTCTGTATGTTCTATGACTATGGCCTATCTTAACTTCTTTAAGGTAAGCTAGCTGATATCACTTAATTAAACAGCATACGACTGAGTTTAACTATCCTCGTAAATAGTAGGAGAATGTTGGTTGATTAACTTGGAGCACTTATTAGTTAAAGACAAACATATGTAATGGATGGGTGTTGAATTAATGAAATAATACTTTTTGACAGTCAAATCCCTATCCAGGACCACTTATTCAATGGAAACCTTAATCAATACTGAACTGGGACATTGTTGCTAACATAAGATGTACAGTATTGAAACGAGACACTGAAAATAGCAGTCACTTCACCTCTAACTGCATTACTTTTTATATAGCTGATTTCATGATTGTGTTTAGTGTCACATGCTCTTTTGCTTGTTATAATTTGTTTACAGTTTACTTTAACTGTATAAAGAATGTCACACATTATGTGTGGAGTTATTAGCCCCTGCTTCACTTATTAGTATGTTTTAACAAGATGTACAACTTAAAAAACTCAAAATTTATTCAAAACTATTAGACTACCGGTACCCTTAAAGGAAGGACTCAAAATAACACTACTAACAGGTTCAATACTAGCTGACTCCTCTATATCAGCCATAGACATGTCGGTTATCAATTTTAGTACTGGAGGTAACTACTCAAAATAACATAACTAACCTTAAGTGTGGTAAAGACCAACTGCGGACTGCGAGGACTGCGCACTGCAGTGTTATTCAGTTCTGCAACGATCGCTGCGCGCAGATCTCTGAAGTTGGTGGGAGGGGAGACAGTCTGTGTGCCGATGTAACGGACGCTGCTGAACGCGTCCATCTCCAGTCCGTACTGCGCGAACCTGGCGCGTATCATGTCCTCGGCACTCTCACGCCCTGCGTATCAAATAACATCTTGTAAATTACAAAAAATTCAAATTTCTATCACTTGTTTAAAGGTACAGTACAGGTACAGCTACCAGTGTATTTGTAACTACCTAATGGACTCCCAAATACTTTATAAGGATACAAGGTTAACTAGCCTAAACATACATTGAAGTTTGTCATGTAAGAACACTTTTTTACTTGTGAGTTGTCTTTAACTTAACTGAAAGCAAAGTTTTAAATTTTAAAACCTCATTAATAAAGTTAAAAAGCAACTAAACGTTTTCATTGGTTTCACTGATTTACTTTAAAATTATTACAGCTTGATAAACTAACATTATTTTTTTCTTGTCCTTATGATGAAAGTATTTTTTTTAATTATTTTAGATGTGACTAAAACTAATGATGTTGATGTGAAGAATTTAACAAGTATTTTCTAATAGGATAACCAGTATTAGTATTGAAATTTCCTAAACATAGTACATGAAAAACTAAAAATAATATAATAATGTAAATGAATCAAATATCAATTACCTTTCCATGATGATAAAACCATATTAGCTAATTTAACACCTTAAAAAATAGCAATAAAACTTGATATTTTACAAATGTCACAAAAAAATTACTAAACAAAAAGCATAAAATTCCATCGACAAATGTTATTGAATGATCTCAAAATGACTGAACTCAGTTGCTTATCCTAAGATAAATAGCATTACGTACTTCAGCATTTAAAAATTTGTTTTCTACAAACTTACAAACACCATTATCACTTAGCAAAACTAACCTCAAGGTCAAAGTATGGTTGAAAGATAAACTATTACGTGCTAAAGCTTCCATCAGTACTTTGTTATGAATAATTTAAGTAGATATGTACCGGTACATAGTTTAATTTATATACAAAGTACATCAAACAGAAGGAGGGAAAAAAGATTTTAAAAGTTATTTCTTGCAGTCCTAGGACAGACCAAATAAGATCATTAAATTTTTTGTTTAATGTTTTTACAAAACATTATGTTTTTATGAAAGTTTCCAATAGAGCATAACCAAGAACATGTTCAATTACATCTCAACTTAAATCGTGAATATTTAGGCTTAATTGTTGTAATTTTAAATGAATAAGATATGAATATCATATCGCTCAACCAATGATTATTTATGTTTTAATTTTAGCTTCTATTTCATATTTTATCTATCACTTGTGTTTCTATCTTGTAGTAGTATATTTCATCACTACGGCTTAAAGTGAGTCTTAAATTGAATGGAGATCAAGTTTTACGACTGAAGTGAAGGCGGCGTCAGAAAATAACGGGGGGAGGGGTTAAAAACACTTTTTGCCCTTGTGATGTACTTTTTTTTAATGCACCATTTAAAATACTTTTCATTTAAAGATAATCGCTCAAAACAACATCCAACTTGTTTTCAATTTTGCTAATGTAAACAAGCAGCCTGTTTGGTAAATGATTCAATCATTTAATCTGTTACAATTGTGTCAAACTATTGACAAGAATGCAACAATAAGCTACATCTGATTAAAATAATTTATATATACTTTTGGTACATGCTATTGTTTTCAATCAAAGTTGACAAATGACTTAACAACAGCTGACTTTAACTACCTAAGGACTAAAAAGCTTGTTACTCCCTTAGGAGAAAAGAGCTACTTTACAACCGCAACGCATATATTAAAAACAGCGGTTTTTGCTGCTGTATGACAATCAAATCATAAAAGCGAGAATGTAAGAATATTACTACTTTGTATAATGTTTTTGATCAATCTTATCTAAAGTTTACTTATCACTGAGTTTTTTTATGTATGTAAAACAATTAAATGAGTAATTTTTGAATAGTGCACAAGTTAAAACCTGAATGGATTGATTTCTATAATAAAAGTCATACAACTCGGTTATCATGCAATCTGTATACTTATCATACAACAATATCTTCTTGTATTTTTTGTTATAAAAAAGAAGTAATTTTGCTATAAAGTAATGGGATGGCTTCAAAATTTATATTTAAACTTATCTGTAATAGTGAGAACATATTTTCTGCACTTAATGTTAATGTTAAAATATTCCTCTTTCAACCATTGAAAATTAATACAGTGTATGATGAATTTAATAGTAGTATTGTTAATTATAGTTGTCTTAATCTTCCGGATTTGTTTAATCTGAAAACAATTTCTACCAAGCATTTTTTAGACCATGTAAATTTATTAAAATTATAAAAATGCCCATGTGTAAAGAAAGGTCAAAACGTTCAGACATGACGCAGATTAAAGATAAATGCTTATCAGAGACAATACTGTAGTAACCTCTTCTCTGATAAAATTCATAACAAAGAATGTGGCGGGGTGAGAAAATATCTCAAACAGATGTTAGACAAACTTAAAACAATGTCTGCAAAACCTTCATATTTTCCAAATAAAAGTATTCAGTAAAGCTTTTTTTTTATTTATAACTATAATTGGATTCTGAAACATTAAAGAACTATAATTTTAATACCGTAGTAGTAGTAATCTATTACATCACTGGATCTGATTGTACAAATAGTTATGATAATCTGTAGAATACTTAACTAAAATATGTATGATCAAAATTTTTAAGTTTTCCTGTTAACTATGATGATAAATGGCATTCTATTGCTTCTTACAGATTAGATTTTTGAATTACATTTGGTATCACAATACAATTTATTCAGAGCTTATTATTATTGAATTTTACTAAGACCTGAAAACTAATACGTTTTTAGAGTACCTATGTAGCCTATTCATACCTGGTGTACTAGATAATTTATTTATCTTTACAGAAAAAAACATTAATCTATTCCTGTGAAAAATTGCCCGATTATCTAGATCTAGTTGAGAAATGAAAAATAATGTTGATTTTTTTCAGATTGATAAATATGTCAATTTTGTAAAATAATATCAAACTATGCTTCTATTAAATTTGTTGTTGTTGTGAAGTGGTAGGCCTACTTGGAAATCCAGCTAGGTATATTATTACCTATTGTTTAAAAAATTGTTGAATAACTTGTATGAACTGTAAAAATGTGTTCACAAAGTTTTAAAAACTTAATTCTACTACCTTCTACCATATCTATGCTTCTACTGAGCACTATCTTTACCTGTGTTCAATGTGAGAGTATTTCTGGTCTCGTGGAATATGATAACGGACGGACCAAGAGCAGAAAGTGGACCTCCGAATTCCCCTCTTTTACCCACTGACTGGCGTGAAACAATCACATAAACACAATTTTTAAATTTTTAACAAACCTTACAAATTACATTGTTTGTGTTAGGTAGAGATGGTAAAACACAATTTACTAAAAGTAAATAAAAAAACTGACTTGGAAAATGTCATGCTACCAAAGTGTGAGGGAGAGGTACCAATGAAGGAAAAAAACCTTGTGTATATAAGTCGTGTTGTGGCCAACAGCTACTTACGGGGAGGAGGTAAGGTGACTAGTGTGAGGAAAGAGGACAGAGCAGAATACTAACTGAGGAAAGAGATGTTAAGCAATTATGATTTAATCAAGTTCGGATAGTTAGGGGAGAAAGAGGTGAGGTAGAAATTGAAAGGAAACACATTGCAGATGTGTGCAGACGTATATACAAACACATTGCAGATAGTTACAACGTGACACAAGAATGCCAGAAGAGAGAATTTGTAGACAATGGTGATAAGAAAGAAGAGATTAAAGCAGAAACCTATTTAATAACACAGGTGGAGGAAATGTGAAAAAGATGGATCCTGAGAAATAAGTAAAACAAAAATATGTGTATGCATGGATAAAAAGTAAAATTCTTGATAAATCTATGAGTGCATTTGTTTTTTTGTTTTTTTGTTAGTATTTTATTCCAAAATCAAGAGATTCTAAATAAAAAAAAATATACCAATATAAATTGAAAAATGTCACTTAGAAACTTTCCCATTAGGCCCTAACTGAAGTTTTATCAAAATAACTTACAATTATTTTTTTTATGGAAAAAATTGAATAAAAACACTAAACAAATTTAACACCTTAATCACTTTGACATTATACAAAGCATATTTAAAAAAATAACTTAACCAATATTTTTGGGAACTTTTAACGTGCTTTCTCTTAAACCTTTGATTCTGCATGATATCCTATGTGTTTTTTTGTTATTCAGGGTGTCTAGTTTATTTCCATTACAAAATTCAAGACTAATTCCAGACTTTTCAAGACTAATTCCAGATTTTTCAAGACTAGTTTTTTCAACAATTAGTGGGTGTTGATACCAAAATGTATCGATTCTCGATTCTTGATACCGATACGAATTTTTATAGAGCTTATCCAAATTTTCTAAATAATACTACACCAACCCCTGTCTTTGTCATAAAGTAGTATTATGATAATGTCGTGTTTTCATGTAAAGAAATAATGCAGCAATAAAAAATTCTAACTAGCAAATTTGTTTTTTTTTTATCATGAAATCTTCCGTGTACCGTACGTTTAGACATCATCATTGATTGCAGCGGCTACAGAAACGTGATCGTCGTCGTCCGCGATCACGGCAAAATCATGAACATTTCCCGCGGCCTTGTAGACATCACCGTCATCTCCCGCGGTCACGGAAACGTCATCGTCATCGTCCGCGATCGCGGCAAAATCATGAACAATTCCCGCGGCTGTTTAGACATCACCGTCATCTCCCGCGGTCACGGAAACGTCATCGTCGTCATCCGCGATCGCGACAAAATCATGAACATTTCCCGCGGCCGAGCAGATATCATTGTCGTCTCCCGCGGTCACATCATCGTCATCTCCCGCGGTCACGGAAACGTCATCGTCGTCTCCCGCGGTCACGGAAACGTCATCGTCATCTCCCGCGGTCACAGAAACGTCATCGTCATCTCCCGCGATCGCGACAAAATCATGGACATTTCCCACGGCCGAGCAGATATCATCGTCGTCTCCTGCGGTAACGGAAACGTCATCGTCCGCGATCGCGGCAAAGTCATGAACATTTCCCACGGCTGTTTAGACATCACCGTCATCTCCCGCGGTCACGGTAACGTCATCGTCGTCTCCCGCGGTCACGGAAACGTCATCGTCATCTCCCGCGGTCACGGAAAAGTCATTGTCATCTCCCGCGATCGCGACAAAATCATGGACATTTCCCACGGCCGAGCAGATATCATCGTCGTCTCCCGCGGTAACGGAAACGTTATCGTCCGCGATCGCGGCAAAGTCATGAACATTTCCCACGGCTGTTTAGACATCACCGTCATCTCCCGCGGTCACGGAAGCGTTATCGTCGTCGTCCGCGATCACGGCAAAATCATGAACACTTCCCGCGGCCGTGTAGACATCATCGTCGTCTCCCGTGGTCACGGAAACGTCATCGTCATCTCCCGCGGTCACGGAAACGTCATCGTCAACTCCCGCGATCGCGACAAAATCATGAACATTTCCCGCGGCCGAGCAGATATCATCATCATTGGCTTACACAGTTACGTAAACGAAAGACGACGATCGCGGCAAAATCATGAAAATTCCCGACTTTGAAATCAAATTTAAGACTAAATCCCGACTTTTCAAGACCATTTTGAAATTCAATATTAATTCCCGACTTTCCCGATTTTCCCGACTACTAGACATCCTGGTTATTGTAATAATTAGATACTAAATCATAATGAATCTCAGAGAGGCAAGTATGCATTTTGTAACAGACTAAACTGAATAAAAAATTATTTTTCAAAGACCAACCTGAAGAGCTTTTTGGAAGTGCTGTGTGTAGGCTCGGGAGGCAGATCCGAGGAAAGTGAACATGTCCTCGTGAAGTCTCTCAGCTCTAGTCCTGTAGATCACAATGTCCGACACAGCAAGAATCTGAGGCAAGTGAGAAAAACATGACAGAACACCCTCTCTCAAACCGACCCTAGTTGATTTTTCTAGATTAACCTCATCCGACCCTCACAGGATTGAGCCTGGGTTGGATAACTTTAGTGGTCAATGAAAAGAGGCAACTATATAAACGTTAAATACTTAACCGAGTCAAGGAGATTTTTCTACTTTTCATTTTCCCAAGAGGTTTAAATGACAAAACTATACCTGTATGGACACAATTTTATATTATTTAACATGGGAACGCAAGTCTTAGACTCCTAGAGAAAAGATCAATACCAGTACGCAAGATGTATAGTTTAACATTATTTCCAAAATTATTTTTTTGAAGTTTTTGTGTCATTTTGGGAATATTTTTTTCTGTATTCAATAGGCCTAAGCCTATTATTTTGTGTTTTTGTACGTCTTTTGCCAGTCTTTTCACTAGAAAGGTTTTCTAACCCTGCTCTTGCTACTGAAAGTTGTTATCCTGTAGTTAATTGGAATCATCAATTGATAGCTAGATGACAAAAGGCAACTAGGTTAAGTGTCAATCAATGAACAATAGTAGTTCAACTAGCTTTTAATTGAACTGCATTTAAGATTGCCAACACTATGAATGGTCTGTTTATTCGTATCATGAATAAACCAGGTTTTAATGACTTGTTAACATTGGGGACATTAGGTAGTGTCAAAACAGGCCTAAAATGCAGTATTGTTATAATTGAATTCAATTGCATACAATACCTTTAAAAGAAGTCTCGTTCTTTGATTTTTGTGACGTGTCGAGCCCAAAAGTCCCTCTGTGTCCAAGCAAATAATATTCAATTTTGGATCGAATGCCGCCCAAACACCAAGTGTGCACGAATCTTGTTCGTTAGATGTTCGGAAAACATCCTCACCATTGAAGAGGGCATGATTCATTGTGTATGATTTCCCATCTCCAGTGTTGCCAAAAATTGACACTACTTTGACCCGAGTAGCTGGGTCCTGACAATGGAGCCGTTGTAGGAAGGCATCAGCGGAAGCCACCTGACCAATCAAACACTCTTAGAACACAGTTGATTATGGATATACATCCATAAATAAAATTTCATGGGTACTTTCCTGTTAAAGGGAACATTCATTATTATCGATGATTTCTTTTTGATATAGGGCCTATTGATATTTTATTTTTTGGTCCAGTATCGATATTGACGAATTGAAACATATCATCTGACAACTACAATAAATAAATAACTTATTGTTCGGTACCGTAACAACAAATATAAAAAAATAGTATATTTAAATCAAATTGTTCTAAACTAACCTAGGCCTAACTAACCAAACTTGATGTAATTTCCAATGAATCCAATGAGGAACGAGTACCTATGTTTGCAAGATTGGAAACAGAATTTAAATAGGTACCGGTACCTAACTGATAAGTTTAGCATAATCTCGCAGAAATGAATTCAATGAGAAACAAGGAAGCAAGATTAGAAAGAGACAGATCACCGGTACGGATAGCTCAATCCCTCGCGAATGAAGCCATTGAGTAACGAGACGCAAAAATGGAAAGAAACAGATTACGGTTAGCTCAAACTCGCACAAATGATCTCCAGAGATTAAAAATGGAATGGTTAACTTTCCTGAAATCATAGCAACGTGCGACGGGTAACTTATAAGCTAACTTACTTAGTACCTACTAAACATAATCAGCCTGCCACATTAGCCTAGGCATACATTAAGTTAATGTTAGAAACTACTTACTTGTAATACTTCATCCTTGTCTAGTAAAAGGAAGCTACAACTTGACATAATATGGCCATCCAAACTGGGAACAAGTTTCAATGACTGGAATTCAGAGCCAGAATTGAGCGTAACATCTGGTGGAACGAATGCATTTGAATTCAGTCGATCACTTGCTTCCAAAGAGCTCTCCCGATTCAGCAAAATTAATGAAGGATTGTCCATTGATTGCATGATTGCTGGAGTCTTCGGCATAGCTGCATTAGGATTTTGGTGCCAAGGAGAATTAGGCTTTCTCCTAGTCAAAGTATGATCCATCAGTGATGTTGAAAAATCCATTCATTTTGTAGAAACAGACATTCAAGTAATTTTAGGCTCTGAAGCCAGAGTGTATGGATGAGAGAAAAGGGCCTAACTTAGCTTACCACTTTGTGTTGGGTTGTGCAACTAAGCCTAGAACAGGACCAGACCATTAGGCTAGGACACTAAAATGTATGATTGGCAAAAAATGTTTTTGTGGTCGAATAAATTTCTAAAACTTGTTAAAATAATACTGACAAAATCACCAAAATTTCAAAAGTCCATTTTCTGACGAAGATTTTAATAGTTTTAGACCTACAACTAAACCACACTTCTTAAAATCAATAAAGTCCTGTTTCCAGGGCTAGAAATTTAAATAAGTACGATTGCTTCACAACAACTTTGGAGCTAACAACATTAAAACATTTTCCACAGAATCAAGAATCAAGTTAAACGTAGTTTTATGAACTCTTATCGTATCGAAGAATACAAGAATCAAGAACGATACGAAGAAAACAAGAAACAAGACATCAAGACAAAGAACTTTTTTTGTTTGAAAACATATGTTCTACTTTAACTTCTGTGAGTAAATCATATGATCAGTGCTTTCTATATAGTAAAGTACGTAGATTTAAAAAAAATGGCCGTGATTGTCGTCACGTCCCGTTATAACCCTAAACAACATGGAAGTGAAGCGTAATGGCTGTGGTATTTTCCTCAAATAATTGAAGTTTATTTTTGGAAAGTGGATTGTATTTTACCGTTGTTACTGTATATATTTCACAAATAAAGTGTTGTTTCATTTCATTTTAGAGGACATTATACACTTTCGATAGCTTTTATATCTTGTGCGTGACATTTTCTTTTATCTAGGTACCCTAGTAGTTTCGCTTTTGAAGATTGTTGCGAGAATAAAGATGGTGAGTAGGAAATATTATTGCTAATAAAATAAATAAAAAAATCAATTAAATGTATCCTTTTACTTATTTTTCCAAATAGGGTTTCGTTTTCAATACCTAAAACATGCTGACATGAGTAAAAGTCATGTTGTTATTATAATAGCTTAATGCCGATTATAAGAGCCTAGTCCTATTTGTGTCATTTAGGTAGATATTAGGCTGGTACAAAAATTATGTCTTTCCAAACCAAGATAAGTTAATATCAGTCTATAATTTAATAAGAGCTATTTTATTTTTACTATTTTACTATTTTATTTTTTATATCCTGATAATTTTAACTCTGACAATGCACCTATTCTGTATGTAACACATGTAAAGAATGTTATGTGCAAATAAAATATGAAAAAAAAAAAAGAGCTTAAGGATTTATGGTATCTAGGCCTATATTGCCACAAAACTGTATTGTTCAGCCTTAAAAGGCCATTCAAATTCTTGTCTTTAACTTATTTGGGCCTAACTTAGGCTCCTCAATATTCGGGGTAGGCCAAGGCCACACTAAAAGACAGGCCGTAATGCTCGTCAAGCATGACATCACGATAGAAGACGGCAATGACGTAGGTATTTATATTTATTTATTTTCCAAGGAAATATTAAAACAAGCAGCTGATCACAAACGGCAAACATTACGTCATTGCCGTCTTCTATCGTGACTTCATGCTTGACGAGCATTACGGTACGGCTTTTTTTTAGTGTGGCCTTGGGTAGGCCTAGGCCTGACTTAGTCCGTCTACGTGAATTACCTTTTGGGTTATAAAAATGCCTAGAATCTTATTTCCAATTTTAGCTAAAAATAAGTAAGTGAGTAAAAATCTTGATAAGTTATGGGTGACTTAGCTTAATTTAGGTTAACTTATTTTGAATAAGCTACCAAGGCTAAGTTAACTTAAATTCCGTTACATTATCATAACTTTCAATTAGATAGGCCTAAGTCATGAGTAGGCTGATTAAGTTACACGGTTACAGTTCGGCAGAAGTAACTTAAAAGTTACGGTAACTTAACTTATTTTGTGAAATAAGTTGAGTACAACTTAAATAGGCCTAGTTAGAAGTTAGGTTATATCGCCCATTATATCAAATCTATCGGTTGTTGTTATCACATGCTTAACTTATAATTCAATTTAAGCTTAAATGCAAGCTTAATTAATTGAATATGAGCGTTATAAGCTGTAACTTATCTAGGGTATTTTTTTAGAAGGGTAGACTTCCATATCTGTTGGCATAAACAACCGAATGAAAATATCAATTATTCGATTGTTTCATTCGATATATCGTTTGGTTAGGTAGGTTAGTTTAACCTTACCTAACTAACCAAACGATATATCGATTGATAACTTATTTTCATTCGGTTTGTGCCAACAGATGGAAGTCTACCCGAAGTTTTTACACTGTTCTGCTATTGACTTAAGTTAGTTTAGGGTAAGTTTGGATACTGTAAGTTAGTTTATGATAAGTAGGCTACCTAAACTAATTGTTTGTTTGGTGTCCAATTATAGGTAAAAATTTGTTTCGATTATTTCATTCGGTGTTTTGGAGTCCTGCTTATGAAAGTCTACCTAACTTATTTACACAAACAATATTATGTAGTTATTTGTGTCCTCTTTTTCATGAGCTTATACATAATTAGTGTTTTAAGTTAAGTTAAATGACATTTTGAACACCGAATGAAATGGTGTTAACCGGTAACTTAATATTTAAGTTTAGGCTTACTAGTAGGTTCCCTGTGTAAATGTATCCGATTACACTCATAACGTTAATAATCAGCCCTACTAAATTAGGAATGGAAATAACTGTAGGCCTTAGCCTATATCAGTAACTTTAGGTTTAAGTTAAGTAAGCTTAGATTAAATTTTATATTTGAAATCATTCCAAGTTAACTAAAAGCCTGTTGTAATTTTCACTGTAGACTGATTCTTAACTTAAATAAATCTGTCCTGCCTACATGATCTCAGTTGGTGTTGAGTTTAAATCTGGGCTAGGCCTAACAAAAACTAGCCTATAAATCAGTTGGAAATGGATAACTTTAACTTTATTGAAACTCTGGTTTATCACACGTCCTCATAGATGAAATGAAATGAATGAAATGAATGAAATGAATGAAATGAATGAAATGAAATGAAATGAAAAATTCTTTATTTTACCAGGCAAAGTTAGGGCCACATGGCCCTCTCTTACACTTAACCTGACAAACTTAAATATGAATAAATAAAAATACAATGATATTTTTTAATCTAATATTAAAATACATATTTAACACATCAAGTACAAGTTAAAATAAAATTCAATTTATTTAACTAATTAACTAATTAAAAAAAAATTAGTAATTATTATAAATTAATAGAATAGCCTATACAAAAGAAAACATGTTCACACTCTCACACGCATACGCACCAGCAATTGCGCAAAGACGCAGAAGCCCTAGGACACGCCAGCCGAGACCATTTGCTCCGCCTCATATTGATCTCCGCAAGTAAAGCTAAGCACAAAGGCAATGTATTCAGTAATTATTGATGCTAGGCCTACCTATGTTAGTTATGTGACAACTTACCTTAGATGCCACCGCAGTGGCTTGCAAAATCATAGTTAATACTGGTGCTGTGATGTTGAACTTACCTACTTAAAAATTCTTTATGGGCTCACTCATAAATCCTGGACTGCTTGGTTAAGGTCGATTCACACATCAGTTCCGGCACTTCAGAGTAAAAAAATAGATTTTTTAATGGATTTTATATTGTACTATTTACACTCATCCGACACAATTCTGTCAGTCGCTTGGCTGGCGTCCGTCAGTCAATTTCAGATTCCTATTCTCTCAGATATTTTTGGATTGTTCGGACACCTGACGGAGGTGTTTGAGGTTAGAAAATAGTGTTTTTTTTATTCAAATGATCGTGTTTAGGCCTACATTTACCTATATGTTTACCTATAGGCTAGCCTATGTTTTTAAGAATCAAAAAGATGGACAACAAAAATTTGATTGATAGAATATTGTGTTTTAATTAAAAATGTTTGACTCTGACATTACTGTTAAGGTCGATTCACACACATCAGTTACGGCATGTCACAGTTAAAACAAAAATATTCTTGAATGGATTTTCTATTGCGCTATCGACACTCATCCGTTACAGTTCTGTCAGTCGCTCTGATGGCGTCCGTCAGTCAATTTCAGATTTCTTTTCACCGATATGTTTGGATTGTTCGGACGCCTGATGGACTTGTTTGAGGTTAGAAAATAGTACCTACTTTTTTATTTAAATGATCGAGTTTGATAGAATATTGTGTTTTAATTAAACATTTTTTACTGTAACAACACTGTAAATAAAGTGAAGGAAGAGTGACTGAAACCAAATGACTGACAGTTTGACTGAGAAATTGTGGATGCAACTGTGTCTGGACTGTAACGGAACTGAGACTGGACTTATATGTGTGAATCGACCTTAAGTAAAGTGACCGAAGACTAACTAAGTTGTGAACTGAGAAATTGTGGTTGCAAATGAGACTGAAAGGTCATTTAAACGTCTTAAGTATAACAGAATGTTTGTCTTTTCCTTCCAGACCGACTCGATAGTCCTGCAACAATTTGTGTAGGCTACTTTATTAAAGATTTTGTTTTGTTTCATGATTGGTTAAGTCACTAAGAACTAGGCCTTAAAATGTAGCATGACATTCTTTATACTTAGGGCTATCAAGTCTTGGTAAATTTTTACATTTAAGTAAGTCAGTACCGGTATATTAGATTAAGTCACTCTGTAACCTTAACTATAGTTTCCCTATTACTAAATTTAGAGTTTTTATTGATCATCATCACCTACCCGAATATTGTCTTGAAACTACTGACTTACCGATACTAAATTCTGTATCTAAAAGCTATCCACACAGCACAAATTTGGAATTTAGGTTTAACTTTTACATTTTGGATGTTGGTTCTAACTTATGTAATTTCTTAAAAAGCAGATTTCATAATTTTAAAAAAGCCTGTCAAGAAATAAAATCGAACATTTAAACTACCCAAGTTGGGGCCTAGGCCTATTTTATAATGTGTAGAACTTAAGCCTATACAAAATTTGTTTATTTTCAATAATTTTAATTAGGTGATAGGTTACTAGTTAAAATTCTGCATTGTAAAAAATAGAACTGTTGTCTTATTAAATGTTTAAGTTTTTTTTTTTTACAGGTATAGCATGTTGAAAGAAGGAAATCAAGATAAGCTTATTTAGGCATTCTATTGGATTGTTGGAATGTTAGACACAAATATAATTAAGCTACAAATGAAGAGATTTTCAGCTCAAAACCCGCATGAGCTCCGACACAAGAACCTCCTAACATCAGGAGGACTTGTTGAATGAACGTCTTTATCACCCTGTAAATCACCAATCAGAAAGGAGGCAATGCTAGCTCAGCTGAATTCCAAGCAGAAGTCATTATTCTTCAATATTAAGCCGACAGTAATCGATAGATTAATATCAAAGAACAAAAGTTCCATTCAGAACAGTTTGCTTTGTACAAATGAGGAAAGCGACGGATCAGTAAGCGAAGAGAGCGAAGATAGCTCTTCCAGCAGCCAAGAAAGTAGTGTGACGATAACAGAACGTCCATCTACGATGGCTCCGATAAGACGAAACGACAAGGTTTTAGGATCAAAACTATCAGCTAGATCCAACATCGCACTGAAGAGAGGAAGAAATAAAGCCTCGGTTGGCCAGCCAGGACGGAGTGCCAACAACCTAAAGGTAATGGCAGCAATGAAAGTGTTGGAAAACAGGAAGAGAGGGCGCCCAAGGAAGATTGTCGAGGAAGTCAAAACACCAAACCATAGAAAAATCCCAGAAGAAACTCCATCTACAAGCACAAAAAGGTCTCGAGCATCGGTCAAAAAGGACGACATTCCCCTGACACCCAGGAGTAAAACAAATAATACCAATAAGGCAGAGTCCTCAACAGTGAAAAGAAAGACAAAGGAGGAGAAAGGTAGAGTTGCAACCAGTGGAAATGAAACTGAAAGTCCTTCAATACCTGGGAGTAGTTTAATGCCTTCAGTTAATACCAAAACCTCGCTGAAAAAATTCCCAAGTAATGTAGTGGATCGTTGGAAAAGCACTGGGATGGTGATAAGGGGACGAGGAAGACCAAGAGGTTCACTCAACAAGGTTCCAGGTGCCTTCACTTCTCTCCGGGGAAGAGGCACTTTTAGAGGCAGAGGCATAACACTAAGAGGAAGAGGTGGAAGGAGAGTGGGAGCTCTAAGATCAGATCGATACATCACCAGAGATTCACAAATCGGTGTGATGCGTAGTGGGAAGTTGAGGAAATATAGTAACTCAGATTTAGTGGAAGGCCTGGAACATGTAAGGAAAAGAAGAAGAGATTTTAATCGTGTAAAAGTAGAAAAATGTGACTATCCATCTGACGAACATTCAAGTTTTGTTACTACTAGCGAATTGAGCTTCTGTGAAAACGACAATTCTTGTAAGCAATCTGACGACGAAATCAATTATTCAAGGGTTAAAATCAAGGAAGAAGTTTTAGAAACTGATGATGAAGCGGTTGATTCGAGAGATACAAATTCAAATTTATTTAAAGGTGATAAAATTAAACAGGAGAAGAAATCTTCAGTAAGTGGTTCTGATACTAATGATCAGAGTAGTGATTCTAAAGTAATCAGGAAAAAGATGCTTACGGGACCAAAAGTTGGCGGTCGTGGCCGGAAAAGATTGATCTCGTTAGGTAAACGGTTAGGTCTACTTTCTCAGTCTGACTCGAGTGTTCGTGATTCAGATTGCTCTTTAGATTCAGATGCAATGGACGACTCGGTAAGCCCCCCGAATTCTGGATCAAAATTACACAAACGTAGAAGAATCGATGGAGTGTGGGTGAGGAGATCGACTAGGTCCATTGGCAAAGGAAGTATAAAAGCTGAACCTGATGCTGTTGTTATTGAGGAGTTGTTGAAAGAAAAAGACTGTCCTGTAGATGTAGAATGCAATTCAAAAAGTTCCTTATCTGTTGATGTTAAACACTCAGAATCCCAGTTAGTAAATAGTTTTGACAAAGATAAATCTTTGGACAGTAGTACTGAAGCTGCAACCGAAACATTGGTAAGAAAAGTAGATATTTGTAATATAGACCCAATCGATTCAACTGAAGAATGTCCTTCTATAGATGATTTAGTGAAAAAAGACAGTGAAGTAGAGGTTGATGTCGATGAAATGATTACTAATAAAGATGACTCGGTTGAGGATATTAATTTGACTCTGGAAGAATCACCAAGCAAAATGACGGTTTTAACATCAAAGCAAGAAACTATTTCTGATGAGCTCTTACTTGAATCTCCTGATAAAATGGATTACCCTGATACTGAAGAGAAGCTGAAAACTCCCAGTAGCATTAATGATGAACAAATTAAATCAGAGATTTTGCCAGAACCTTTGTTAAGTATTAATCAAAGCTCTATAATTCAGACAACTGCATCTGAACGTGATGATCAAAATGTGCCTGCAAACAATTCTAGCGAAGAGAATCAAATTAATGTAAAACCAATGTGTACAGATGGATTGAATGATTTAAATAGTGAAGCTAGTGAACATAGTATTAGTAGCAGCCATGAAGTAATGACTGATGACAAAATTATAACAATGATAGATAGTTTTTGTTCTCAGTCGGATGTTCCAGACTTATCGAATGATGATATTACGCAAGAATCTACAACAGTTGAAAATGACGAAGATGTGATTGTTGAGTTTGTAAATAAAATTACTACTGAAGTAGAACAAAATGTTTCACAAGACAATCTGCAAAAATTGACAACTTCTATTAATCAACTCTCGGGTAGTATTGTCAGAAGTTGCTCGGAAACAAATAAATCCTTTAGTAGTGAAACTAGTGAAGTAAAACATACCGATTGCGATAGACAATACTTACCACTTTTGTCCAAAGATTTAACAGATATATGTAAAGAAACTAAAAATGATGAGACTGAATTTGTTAAAGATGAAATAAAAAGTGATCTTAAATCGTTAGAGGTTTGCAAACAAGAAATTGGTACCGAAGCAATACATTTTTTTAAAGAAGAGGTTAGTAGTAGCTGTGAAACTGTTGAAATGGAAAGCAGGTTGGAGAAGGCTCCTGAAATTACAGAAGAATCCTCCTCTAGTGATAGCAATTCAAATTTATCAGAAATTACTTCAATTTCTTTAGAAAAAGATGTTGCAGAAGCAATACCAATGGGTGATTTGCAACTTCAAGGTGATTTAGATGAAAGTAGTTTGTTAGCAAATAGAGAAGCCCAGAGCAAAATAGTTACAACTGAAACAGATGCCAGATTTTCTTCAGTCGCAAGTTCTACTGTCACCAGTGACATTGAACATTCCAACAAGGATGTTTCCCACGCTTTACTATCGAGGAAATCTAGCACTGAAGATAATTTGGAAGAGAGGCCTTCAAAAGAGTTATTGAGTGCCTTAGGACTACAATCATTACTCGGTGGGCAAGAGGAGAAACCCAAACGGCCAACTGATAACTACACCGGTACACTGAAGGCTGTTATCAAATTGAATCGTTCCTCGGACAAGAAATCTGGGGGAAGGAAGATGATTTTCAAACAGGGTGATTCACTAGCCCAGGACATTGGAGGAGAAGGGGACAGACTAGAATACAGGATATGCAGTGCTGAGGTGAGTCAAATGATCATAATTTTTCTAAGGATGTTCAAATAGCTTTTTGTTGCTACTTATAGTGGTGATAAATTCAATTTAACTTCTGTCTATACTTTAAGATTAGATTAGGTAATACTTTTTACACAGAGCTAAATAATGCCTGTGACGTTTTGGTGACTTTCTTGGTACCAAACGTCTGGATTTGTTATATAATTTATAACACCATTTCAAGCATTAAAAACTCTCAGCCTCAATTGTTGCAATTTCTTAAATCTAATTCCAATGCTGCATAGAGTTAAAACATGTCCTATGAGACACAAATATCTTTAATTATTTGCCCCATTCTTCTATGTTAAACAATTTACCAATGTATATCCAAGATCACTACAATATCCAAAACACTGAATTCCAACTTACCTACTGATGAATTTTCTACATTTTTCTCTTACCACAAACCTAAATACAAAGATTCAGTGCTTCGTAGTTACAATCAGTGTGCATAATAATTTGACTTAAAACCAAAGTTCTTAACTTAAGTGTAATCTTATCACTTGTTTCTTTTATTGAAATTTTAGTGTTTTTACGCTATTTTACTGTTTTATCCAGCAACTACCAGTGGAGAGTGTCCCGTTTACACATCAGGCTGAACTTCCAGCCCGCAAGGCCCAGATCAAAGTCAAGAGCCAGTTTGGTATGTTTATATCAGTTATGGAATATAAATAAAATTACCATCCCCTAAGATATAGGCTGACCTTGAGTTAATGTGGGTGTAAGATATAGTATGTATGATGGAACCTGTCTCCTGACTGGGCCAACAAATCGATGGCATGTCCCCAGGTAGACTGTGATTAAGAGACAAGTTCCATCATAAGACTATAATTAATGATTCCAGAAAAATTTAGCATTCCAACTCACACATTGAACTTTTTTCTCCTTATGTTTTGTTCTGTAAAGATCTTTTGTACATTATAGGCTACAATAGTTTTGTTTGTTTGACTATGCAAAGTTGACACCATTTCAACCTGTAAGACAAAATAAACTTTGTATTAGAAAATATTTTTGTGGTAAGATTTCTTAAGGATATAAAATTCGTCCAGCAATGTGGACCTGTCATACTGTAAAACAAGTGATATTAAATTTGTTTATGAACCGTTGGTAGACACTTAAAAACTTTTATCATAGAAAAATTTAAATTCTGTAGGTATTTAACTGAAACTTTTTTTATTTGTGACTTATTTTGATGTTTATTTTAGATTTGAGCAGCAGCCTAGTAGTGCCATCAACAGAAACATCATCAGATTCGACCAAAGAACCAGGGTAATACACCATATCATCATTCTATCCTTACATAGAGATAGAAACACCTCGTTGCACATTTGAATGAGTGAAGGATGATACACATAGTAGTAAGGTTCAGAGGAAACATTTAATGGTACACGTAAGTGGTGTCTAGGGCAAAGTCCAACACCACCTCACCTCACCTTCATGTACTGCAAAGCTCACGGTGGAGGAAGACCCTGTGCGATAGGAAATCCCGCTCAAGCTCTTCCTTGTCCGTCACAAGTATATTTCTGGTTAACAAACTAGAGCTGAAAGCACACAGTCGTCCTAAGGACAAGTATCCACTGTACCTTACTGACTGAGACCATATGATTCTTTAGATAACTCAAATGAAATCTTCTGCAATGTAATTGGTAAACCTAAACCTATGAGAATACAAGAATCATGAAATGGAAAAATCCAATACAAGACCTTGAATATTGCATTTGGTAGACAACAAATCAATAACGTAGATTAAGGAAGAATATAAGTTAATGCTGAACTCATAATTTTATATACAGTCTCTGATGTTATTTATCGGTTATTAAAATAGTGTAAACTGTATTTTCTTGACGATTTCAGAGGAAAAGTTGACCTGATCATCCCAGAGAAGAGTAGTTCGTTCTCAATTCACCCAGAACGACTCTGCACGGATGTTTGTTCCTATTGTTTTGGCAAGTTTGGCTCCCTGGATACACCTTGTCATCTCGCCCAGCTCAAGAATGCTGAGAGACAAGCGAAAATCTTGGCCAGTAAGTTGTTCAGATGTGGTTTTATGTTGTGTGCAATCTGCCATATTTGATTCGACAAAAACTAAATACTTTTTATCAGCATATTTTACAATAACTCAAACAATGAAGACATTACATACCTAATTTAGTTAAAATCAAATTTAACCATTCAAGTGAGGCCAATAAGTTTTTACATACTTCAAACTTACTGTGATTCAACTAAGTTCAATATGTACAAATTGCAATTGATGACAAAACCTAATTTCCTCATCTCTTTTGAAGTAAGACTCACAATGTGTTTTCCCTCAGTTGAAGTCCACCTGAGCGCTGACTCGTGCCTGTGTGACGGGTGTTTCCGCTATGTGGATCGCAAGGCTAACTGCCCTGCGTCTCAGCGATCGCGCAAGCCTGCTGCACGACGAGGTCCGCTGGCCGGCACTGTGTGCGCGGTGCAGGAGTGTAGTCAGCCAGCGCGACACTCTGTGCGCCGTAAGTGGCTCATCAAGCTTAAGAAAAGCATCGGAAAGAAGGTGAGTGAAGGTTGTAACTCATTCATCGGGTATTTTCAAAGATCTGTTTATACAGCTAGACTGTCTGTAGTGTGAAACACTGGTTTAACAACACGCTAAAATGTCAATAAATATCAATGCCACAAGTCTTGTCCGATTTACAATAATCCAGGACCTATTACCTCTTGAATGACCAGCCGTAAAAAGGGACAGACTAAAAAACAGAATCTCTAGGAACTTGCAAGTAGGCTACAAGAGAAAATATTTTACACACATTAACCTCCTTTTTCAGACAGGAGCCTGTCAAATCTAGTGGAAATTGATTGACAAGGTTCTACTTCTTATCTTCCTAATTCTGAACTGATTATTCAATTTCAATTTATCATAATTATCTTGCTATGGAATTGAAAGTATCTGTAATATGTTTTACCTTTGGACATGTTTTACTTATAGAAAAAAGTGTGTGTTTTGGTTAGATGCAACATCAATTTAAATGCGATTCTTAATCTTCTCCTGTTATAAGGACTAATCGTCGATGCTGTCTTTGAAAGTCTAAATTTTAATATTAGTAGCATATTTAGTGATTAATATGTAGCCATTGTAATATTGATGTGAGCTTCTTTTTTAAATCATGAGGTGTTGAAGCTTATATTTTGAGATGTCCCAAGCTCTAATTAAGATCAAGGGAAAAACAATTAGCTTAATCGTAACTTGTACCAAAAGTGATTTTCCGGCACTTGACCCTACTATTCCCACTCTTGGCTTTGCCTCACACATGAAACTTGGGCGTGCACAGGAAAATGCCACTTTCGGTACTTTTCTAGTACGGTATGAACAAAAGTATGATAGCAATGTATTTTTTCAGCTTGTCCTCGATATGGACAAAAACCCACATCTGCCTTTCCCACTGTGCTCTCAACACTACTATTGGGTGAGTTCAAGATTCAAGATTTTACACATTTTTTTAAAAAGTCTTTCAGTGTCAAGTTGGCTTTTTTGTTGTGGAAATAGATTTTTTTGTTAAGTTGAAAGCGGTTCAATAGTTAGTATTATTAATATTAATAGTAGTTCTCTGCCAGTGCCATAGTAAAAATAGTCAAAACCCAAACTGCCGAAATTTCTTTTCCATCATTATTGTATACAACTGAAAATATGTCCTCTCAAAATTATTACCTGAATCTTTTGTAACCTTAACCCAGCAAGTAGAAATATTTTGCCTTTAGGTTTTGTGATAAGGGGTTTGATTTTTCAATTATTGGTTTAGACCATTACTACTACCCAGCTAATTTATGACCAAATGCCTGTATGTGGCAGGTTACATTATGCAACGTTTTTATTGCTGCAGCTTGTGTTATTTAACGATACGTGTGTGTCAGGTGGACTACTTCACAGTGTGCGGGATCTGCAAGAAGAGGTTGACGCGTAACCACATGTACGCGTTGGGTCCTGAGGCGGAGGAGCTCAACCAAGCACTGAGCGACGACGGCATTCCTGTCAGACTCTCGGACAAGTTGTTCCTCTGTAAGCTGTGTCGCTACTACAGCTCACTGCGGCTCAAGTACCGAGACCCTCAGGCCATGTCGTCTACACACAGACTCTTCCTCAACAGCTATCGTAAAAAGTTGGTTGAATTTTTAACAAATTTTCCTATACGAAAATTGACCGTAGGTCTCATCAGCCCAACTTGTTACCACCAGGCTACCAAGTTCAGTAAATTTGTACTTGGCTTTTGGTCTGCTTTGATTAATAATCTCAGTTCCAATTATTATTAATATTTGTTGACAAGGATATTCACATTTTAAAATAAAAGGAATTTATGTATAAAACAAAATCTTATTTCCTGCTTACTACTTTTGAGGGTTTTTAATCATTTAATGGTTACAGTCTTTTTTTTATTATTTATATATACCTATTTATTTACAGGATTTTGCAGTACCATGACATCCCTGTGAGTGAGAGTGAGGAAGATGGAAAACCTGCAGAAGAGGATAGAGTTGCCTCTGAACCTCCAAAGCCCAAGAAAAAGAAGTCAAAATCCAAAAGTATTGATAGTAACGAGTCGAAAAAGAGAACTCTGGGTAAAGAGGCAATGCCAGACCACGGCGCTGAAGATCAATCAAATGATTCTCAAATGATCGACTATAGCTACTTGGAAACGTTAAATATCCACAGAGAAGAACCACCTGCATCCACTGTTGATTACAATTCTCTAGGTGATTTAGAAGGAGGACTTACTAACATAGCATCTTTGTTGAATCCTTTGGAGAGTGGTCAAGGTACTGTCTATCCCTCTGACAGCCAAAACCGTGGCAGAGTTGAAAAACCAACTAGAATACAAGTGAAGTTTGGAAACCTCAACATCGGCAAGCTGAGCAACCTAAACATAGGGCAGGACACCAGACCAGCTAGCAATGCGACACCGGCTGCCGAACGGCCACCGTATTTGCCCGGTGAAAGAGAACTAAAGTTGACAAGCGAGTTTGAGTTCCACGGAACTCTAAATCCGAGCTCCGGTTGGGAACGGTATACTTCAACCATACAATTTGACAAAGAAACAAAAAGACTTTGGCAGGAACTGCAACGGCCTTATGGGAACCAATCGAGTTTCCTACGACATCTAGTAATTCTTGAGAAGCATTGGCGGAATGGATCGTTGGTTTTGGCTGAAAACGCCAATCCTCGAGCTGTCAAGTATTTAGGCAGTGTCAAAAATAGAGTACAAGCGTACGACGGTGCGAAATCCTCAGATATGGAGAAACCTAAACAACCTGAGTTGACTATAATATCACCGCCTCCTAGACCTGTCTCTACGCCTGTTAAAAGTGCACCTCCTCCTCTGATGAAAATAGCCCCTGGAACTACTCCTTGGCTGCACGAACAGTTGAAGAAGCCTCCCCCGTACACATCGACCCCCGCCACATCAACCAGTAGTAAATCCCTTCAATCACCTGCTCCAGCACCCCCTCCCTACAGGCTACCTGTACAGTCACAGACCACCAATCAAACTGCCCGTCCTGCGAGAGTGCCCACTCCCATGCCCGGCCTACTCAGGAGTCCACAACCCCCCAATATGATCAGGCCTATCTCCCTCTCTTTCCAACAGTTTAAAAGAATAAGGCTAGAACAACCTCCGGCCTCAGCATCTTCAGCTCAAGTCACAGTTATTCCCAAAGTCGAACTTCCACCCGAAGTGCAGGCCTTGACGAGTAATGCCTCAACTTCCACCGATTTTTGTCCTCGGATTTGCGAAGTGAGATCTCTTGCGAGTCCTACATCCGATTGGAATGAAAGCTTTAGGAAGCAACAGCAGAAGATGTTGAAGCAGAACATCGCCAAGTATTACACCCCCATTTTGCCAAAAATGCCCAACACCCTCTCGGTAACTTCGTTCCCACAGACGACGGCGTTGGTGATGAAAACTTCGTCTCTGACTATCGAGAAGGCTCCGAGTATCAACACGAAACCTGCCCTCGCTCCTCCAGAGAAGCCTTCGATTAGTGTCTTCAGGGAGACGACTCCCAGTGATAACGGCTAGGCGTTGAACCACTTAGTCAATTTCCTAACAAATTAAAACTGTGGAGCAATCTCCTGATGTTATAGCGTGAAATATTTTTGTACATTTTTCAACCTACAGTAGTCAAAAGATTATTTTTTAACTTGAAATACAGAGGTAAAGTATTAACAATATGAAATACTGATCACTAACTTGTCGTTTATCACAGTTAAACATCATATTGATGTTAAATTGGTGGACTTAAATTTTTTTGTAGTTTTTTTGATTGTTTTTATGATGTTTACTTCTGGTTTTGAACGATCGACTGGTGACTTAGTATGCATATCAATAACATGTATTACGGTTGAGGCAAATATGCTTGTGTAATTTTATATTCAAGTCTTACACAGAATGTTATCTTAGTTTGTAGAGCATATCATAGTGATTCATAACTTATTTTATTTAGTCACTTAGATATATATTTCATACTACATGTGTATTATTTTTATCGAACTTGTTGATAGATTTTCACTTATTTATTTAGCTTTACATCCAAGCATTTTGTAATAAGTTTTAACCAGATCAATGAGGTTAAAGCATTTTACTAATATTATTGTTTGTTTTCAAACTCAGAATTGTTCAAAAGATATTTTTTGTTCAATGCCTTCAGTTTGTATAAAATATAAATAGTTATTAGTAATTTGGATAAGCATGGCTAAATTTTTTATATTACTTTGTGCAGTTTTACCAGTTATTAATTTCAATTTTAAACCCTATTATTTTATCTTGTGTTATTGTTATAAACTATTACTTAATAAGACTGTCTGGTACAGAGATAAAGAGCTATATAAAGAATCTTGTTTGAGTTTTTTTCCCTTTTTTGCTGTTTTTGTTTTAACTGGTTTTTAATTTAATAAGCAGACCCGAAAAACTTTTTACGCTTAAAACTATCAATGAACGTGGTGTTATGTTGCCTATAAGCTAAACTTACTTTAGCCTTTTTATGGATGTCGAAGTTTTTAATTTTCATCACTCCTTACATAAAGAAGCTATTTTCAATAACAGCTGATATCGAAGAAAGTAGTTGTTTCCCAAGCTCTAATTTTGAACAGGGGAAACCGATCACCTGATTTTCCCTTGCTTTAAATTTACTTTCCCTTATTCTCAAATCAGTTTCCCATTTTCCCACTATGTGTGCTAGTGCTTGTTTACAATTTATCTAGTTTAAAATCAGCTGATTTGACAACTGAAATTGCTAAAGTGAACAAAAATAAGCATAAGCTAGTTTTGCTGAGTTTTTAGCTTGAAGTGCGTTATTACTGCACAATGAACATACCATTGAACTTCTACATGTATCCTTGTGTAGGGTTGCTATAAAACCTTTTTGCAATTGTTTTTAATAAGATTTATTATTAGGGATGTCTCAAATCCTAAGAAAAGATTTGGATTCAAAATTCAATTAAACAAGATTAGAGAATCCAAAAAATTTTTTAAGAATAGCTTTATAAGGCATATAATAAGCAGAAGAAGAAAAATAAGGAGGTTATTGACGTAATATACAGTACTGTGACATTGCTTAACCGTGGAGGTTATTGACGACTGTGACATTGCCATTTTAGGAACAGAGTATACTATCAATCAAATCAATGATCAATGAATTTAAAATTAACAAGTATACCTACAACAACCATAAATAACCAATAATGAATATTTGCCGTCCATATAAAGTATATAGACCGACCGTTCGATTTAGGTTAATAGATGTATAACCTGTTAAGATAAAAAATAGTGACTGAGTTATCTTAATTTATTCAAATTATTAACAAATAATTCTTTATTTGTTAATAAACACAAACAACTTTCCTTATTGTTAATACATCACCCTTAAATACTTCTCACTGATTTCTTTACAACTTTGATGGTTGACCCTGGGTTGGAAGAACAGAGATAGAATTTCTCAACAGAGCGATGGCAGTGAAAGCTTGATGTTAATAACAAATTTAAAGTTGGCTTTGTGGAATAAAAGTATTTCCAGAAGTCTTTAAGGGACGGTCTTGGTACTGTCTGATATCTTCCAAAATTATGACGATCTTATAAATACACTGGCTTTACTATTGCACTACGAACAGCGAAATAATGTGTTGTACTAAAGGTATATATTTTATTATTTTGTAGTGCAATTTCTGGATTGTGACTCTCAGAATACCTGATTTAATTGAAAGTGAAGCTAGATGTAAGAAAAATAATAACAAGGATGAATAAAAAATCAGAGAATTGAAGAAAATCTCTAAATATAATGAATTCTACTTTATACAATATCGACTTATACACCTAAACTTTTTACAATTCCTGGAAGAGATTTAAAACCGATGTATCTATTGAAATGGAATAAAAACCCTAGTTGCGGCCGCACGAAGCCCCCTTAAATGGGCACGAAGCTGTTATAAATCGGGCAGAAGGTATTTAATGTTTGAGACACTCAACGCCCAAAGTCCTGTTGTTTGACTGGCCAGTTCTATAATAAATTCTTGCAGAGTCGATCTTGAAGACAGCTATTTGTGCCAGTTAGGCTGGACACAATAATCCTGGTTGCAGCATATGATAAAAGGAATGTTTTTGGTTTGATTCGCTGACAGGCAGGACCAATAATAGAACAAGATTAATTTTCTGGGTGGCAGAATGCTTACTTTAAAATCTTCAGGTCGCTGGTTCAATTCCAACTGAGATCGATTCTGTATTGTTCAGATAACATTGACTATCAATTAGTGCTACCAGACAAAAGGTCGACATTAGATTGTACCAGGGTTTCGGCTGTTCTCTTTTGTAAAACGTAAAAACCACCATTGGCATACATAAACACAAAAATCATAAAGATGTAACTTAATCAAAGTATATGCAAACATGCTAAAGTGCTGATTTTAATATTAAGAGTTTACTTCTTTTGCCTCTTGTTGGCTATGGAGAGTAATCAATTATTTACATCGACAACAATTAATGCCCTTCTGCCAATGACCAGTATGAACAGTGTCTTGAGTCTCAACAAGTTTGTTTGAGAATTAAAAAAAAAAAAACTTTATGGTACTGAAAATAAATCTAATCTTGTAAATTATTCGGTATTGAATTTTTTGCTTAATAAACCCAGAATTAATAAATTAATAAGAATTGAAATGCAATCTGTACATAGTTAGGTACCTACCATAAATTTTATTGATGTAGATAAAGTAAAGATCAATGTATAGGCTATGCCATACGGGTTTGTGTATTCAAGATTCTATCACAATGACTTTCTAAAGATATTACATTAGATTCTTAACAGATTATAAAATGTGAAGTCAAACTAATCAGCTACCTATGCAGAGGAAAAATAAAAGAAAATATGTCTATGTAACACTATATTTATCACAAAATTAACATCTAAAATCCTTTGTCCAAAAGAAACGCTTTTGTATACTCCACGAAATCACCCCTCAATGTAATTTTCCTCTTGATCTCTTCTACTTTGCAGCCAATGGTCTTGTGGCCTGTCAGTGGAAGGAGGTGTTCGACAATTTCTTCACTTAATCTCCAAATATCTCCCTCGATTCTCATTATCTTTGTTTCACGTTTCATTCCTCGCTCGCTTATTACCAAGTAAATAGGCAACATATGGTTCCTGCTTCTCTCGACAAAGTATGAAGCCTTTTCTGGATCAGCTGAAAATAATGTCATGCATTAAACACTAGGCCTATTCAAGAATTCTCAATTACATTTTACCATAAACTATTGGATACTGAAGTGGACATTCCATCTACATAGGCCAGCCGTAGCCACGTTTTTGTGAAAAACGTTTTCCAATTGAAAAATTCAAACTTTCACCGCGATTGTGGAATACGATTATAATTTTTCAACACCGCAGGAGACGAAGACACTGTCTAAAAGACCAAGGAAGATATTTAAGATTCGGCAGCGATCATGGAAAACGATAACAATGTTTGCCACGGCAGATGTGCAAGATTTTGCCTCAGTCTCAGAAAACGATTTCCAGTTTCCATGACCTTTGAAAACGATGATCATGGATGACCACGGTTGTGTGGGATATAGGCCTATTACACATTTTTCCACGATTACAGAAGACGATGAGGATGTTTCTGTGACTGTGGCAGATGATGAAATTAAAAGACCACGAAAAAATGGATTTGCCGTGATCAGGGCCTCTGCCTTCTTTTTACTATGGTTTTATATTGTTTTTAATTATTTCTGTAAGCGCTTCAGATGGTTGGAATTATACTGTTTTCAGTTTCAGGAATAAAACATCTTTCTTGTTTAGTCCAATGGTAATTACCTTTAGGAGGCACCCATCCAGAGGGGTAACTTTCTTTTTGCGTTGGTATCGGTATCCATTTTTTGGGCAGTAACCGCTCTACATATTTCCATTCTTCAGGGTTTTTAACAATCTCATAATCTGTGTATTCACTAGGATCGCCTACTGGTTTGCTATTTTTGTAAGATCCACAGCGAACTTGGCCCTGAAATCAAAAATGAAATGACAAATTTATTTATCTTAAAATTGCATTATGAGAACTAAAAGGCGTAGGTACTGTATACTGTTTGATAACTTAGAAGTATTTTTTTAAGTTAAGAATTTATGCAGTGGCTCGTACAAGTGAGATAACTTATGAATGTAGGTTTGACGCCATTGCAGCTTTGTTCTTTTTTTATTTGTCACTGTCTATGCCTGTAGCATTTTCAAAGGAGGTTTAGAGGAGGTACCTACACAAACGCTTTTTGGGAAAGCGGTCCAAACACATATGATTTGTGGATGTGCCGAAAATCAAACTCCTCCCTCTCGCACCGAAGTCTTGGACGCTAACCAACCACTACACTAACAACACATCATTTGCTAAACCATGATACAGTTCTGTAGAAAACCTACGATAAATTGTCAGGTGAAATTTGTAATCGATAGGCTGTTATTGTTGGGTATCATTCTCTTCTCTTGTACTCTCAAGAAAAGGGCATCATGTTGTATTACGAACAAGACGGTAAATTATTTAGCTTAGGGCTTAACTGGACACTGTTAAAACAATGAAGGTGTTTTTTTTTCATACTGACTAAGTTATTAGTGGGTAGGGCCTATTTTAATAAAAGCAATGGGTAACTTTTAGGAACATAAGAATACAGTTATCGGCTTGACATAACGAGGAAAGCCTTATTATGAGCCTAGGGCCTAGGCTTACATACATGACGCAAAGCAGGATGGTTGTCTCATGAACATTAACTTAAAAATGTGAGAGTAGCAGGATACCTACACCAAGACTATTCTCACGGTCGAACTCTTTACTATCGTCTAATTTTAGTGATGTATTTTTACAATTTTTACCATGCTATTGTGTGATTTTCATACAAATGTTTGAAAAGTAGTGATGGGCGATACGGACCTGTATCGCGATACAACGATACGATACGTATCGGAAAAAAATATTGTATCGCCGTATTGAATCGGGCGTCTGTATCGCGATACGCGAATCGTATCGTCAAAAATATCAAAAAACGATACGTATTGTATCGTTTCCCCCTCCCCTACCTCAAGAAACGACACATTTATAATATAAGTACCTGGGGACCGAGCTTTGCTCGGGGAAAATCATTAGTTTACTCTGAAAACAGTCTAAGTATGGCAGATACATTAATCCATTCCCACACTCCACACTGCTCGCCTTTACTACTTCCTTCACAACTCCCTACGTCTTGGACCTGTTTCCCTATCCTTCCCATAGCATTTTAGGATTGCAGATACATTAATGTAATTGTAAGAATATATTACTTACGTCAATCAGCTCATTAAGTCGTGAGTTTCACCTCAGTACATGTTTCGACACATTGTCATCATCAGCTGAGTTAGTACTTGTGAAGGTTTAATTCACCAGATGGCTTCGTCATGTTGAATAAATTAACATGTAACACGAATACGGTATTCGTGTTATTCGTTATATTTAATGTAATTGCCACAGATAGTTCCCACATTCTGCACTGCGCACTGCTAGGCTAGATAGGATAGAACCTTTGACTATTATTAGTCAATCAGTCAATGATAGAACGCTAGTGGAAATGGACTGGAGCTGGACTGGGACGGGACGGGACTGGTACATTATCAAGTAAAAACCAAAAATACAGACGTCACAAACTCCTATTTCAAATTTCAAACTACACATCCACAGAGTACAGATATTGCAGTTTGCTCGGCCTCCACAGAAAAATCTTAAAAATATCGTTTTGATTTGAATCGTATCGCTCTATGTGCCGATATAAATATAAATATCGTTTTAGGCGATACGATACGTATCGTTTTTCAAATATCGTATCGAAATATTGTATCGTCCCTCGCGTATCGCGATATTCCGATACGATACGATACGTATTGCACATCACTAGGAAAATAGACATTTGTGAAGTTAACCTATCCAAACAAATGTCTAGTTTTTCTGGCTTTATGAAGTGACAATATTTTGTGGAGCTATCAAGAACAAACATAGAACCAAAAATAGAATTTTAAATGTTGAGAGTGAGAGTATGAATAGGATAACTTTATACTTAAATCTTAGGTCTTAAGTTGTATGGTGAGGTGACTATTTGATATGGACTAAGGTTTACATACCTGAAATACCTGCCTACAAACTGTATTTACCCTATGATATTTTAACGTTTGGTTGATCAGTTCTCTAGTTAAATTCATAGCAAACACAGAAATTAAATATGGTTTATAGGTGTGTTAAGTAAATTAACAATAAATAAGTGAGTTTGGAATTTACATTAGGGTTATAAAATTGTGAGGTTATGGTTATGTTTTTGTTTGTTGATATTCTTTTCTACTAAGTACAGTAGTAAAGTATACAGACTACAGTAAAATCAGGTTGTCCACCATAGATTAAAGAAACTAGTTAGTCTGTGTTCTGTGGTTTTAGTCCGGGGCTATAGAATCCGGTTTTAGTCCCTACCCCACGACCAGTTAAAATTATAGCTCTGCTCAGTGACGACCATTGGCTATATTTAGAAGATCTGTTGTTTTGACTAAACGGTTTTAGCCTAAATTAACTAAGACAATTAACACAGTGGTTCATAAAACTAAGACCCTCTGTATTATTGTTGTTGACTTCTGCAAAATCCGATTACTCTACCGATCAAAATGGTACGACCATTGATTACGTATACTCTTGAGCTTGAGCCCTATAACTATCATTGACTTAGGAGGATAATGCATGTAGACGTCTGATCGTCTTGGATCAAATACTCCTTATACAATTTAAAGTAAGCGTCATCGTCATGTTTTTATCATGTTCGGTTACGCATAAGTTAATACATACTTAGTCCTTCCGCCTCTACTAGGACTAAAAATTGCTCAAATTTATTCCTCGAGTTAGCTTTTGTTACCCAGCTGTGGATTAAATATTTGTCTCCGAAACCTGATAGAATAGAACTTAATTCGAGGATTATGTAGCCCATGAGTCCAAAACCCATGAAATAAGTCCAAGACTATAAATATAAGACTATATAGTTAACTCTCGGATTAGACTTTGGTTGTTGACTAGCTTAATCCTTGAGCTCCGAAACCCATTTAAGTCTTTTTGGAGCTCCGAAACCCGCCCTAAAAGATCTGAGATTGTGCACCGGACAGAACTACTGACAATAAAATTTGCTTCAGCTCACAGTACCTATATCAATAAGGATGGGAAATTCACTAAAGGAGTATATTTTATCTATGGGTTTAAGCAGACGCCTATTAATAAACAAGTATTGCGGGTAATAGAAGTTCATCACCAGAGATCGGAATTGTTTTAAAGTTTGTAAGGTCCTATTTCATTCAGACTGCACGGAAATTGTGATTGCATTTGCGAATGTTATCTTTGCTTTGCTATAGAGCGAATGATACGAGGATGTGCTTCTGGCTCGTAGCGTACCGTGGTTATAGTGTGCTCCCACTATATTTTATCACGTGACAACGGTTTACATAATATGCATGTATTCATTATTATTGTTCAATAAATAAATTGATTGATTGATTGACTTATTCTCTATAAAAACAATATAGAAATTTCAAAAAAGTACAATTAAAAATATTTTTTTTTTTATATTTTATAACCGTAAAAATACTTCTATATACTAGATTATTTGTTTTTAAGCTCTTAAAAACGGTTTAGTGCGAAAAAAACTGTTTTTGTTTTGAGGGTCAAAAATAAAAATAAACAATTTTACCCCATGAATCCCCGTTTACGTGGTCCGATTACGCTGGTTCGCGGACTAGCCCGAATAAATTTAGGTTTACACGTTTTTACCAAATTTCATCAAAATCGGATCATTTTGTCGAGTTATCGTGCTAATTTGAATGGATGGTGTTTTTGACCTCTGGGGACATCAAAACAAAAAAGTGAATCAGTACCGGGTCCACGAGACCTACGATAATAGCTTATTCCCTATATGGGAAATTCATGTGGTCATAATACCCAGAAATGTTTTAAATAAAAACATAATAATAACCATTAGAAACTAAATCATAATTTACCTATTATGGTAATTTCCAAATGGACTGCGGCGGGACTTAAAATTATAAATCAACGTTGACGATTTTCAAGTAAAGATCTAGTTGATTTGTGAACTACACTTTTTAGAAATTTAAAATAGCATTTTTTGATACCAAAACTAAAATAAATAAATTCATCTTACGCCCGTTTTCTAAAATAATATAACGGCTAAAGCTTAAGAATTGGATGATATGCTTTCATTATTATGTTTTTTTTTGTTTTTTTTTATTCCAGAATTACAAAATTGCATTGTATTGGAATAGTCAAGTTTATAATGAAATGTCGTGGATTCTGTAGCAAGCATTTTCAACCAAAATGTTTTTAAGTTTTCTCCTACACCTGAGCAAATTGTGGATTCACAAAATTAAAGTTTTAACAAGGGATAATCTCCACTCCATGGTCAACACGGCAACTCAGTTAACTATTATTACAAATATTTCGTTATTTGAATTCGGTAGCTAAAATATTATAATGCTAAATAAACTGATGTTAACTGATGTTAGTATGAACTGTCGACGAAGTGCTAAAGAACTTTCTATAGGCGAGGAAATAATTTAATCCACTCCACCTAATTTTCTTTATTTATATGTTTTAGGAGATTTAAGAATTAATTAATCACGAATATTTAACAAACGCATAATGACTGCGATTATGTGGTTTGTTCTCTCAATTTCGTGTTCAGTGATTTTAAATATTTTTACGGCAATTAAACTGGTAACCGCAAACGTAGAAAGTCATTCGCCTAGTTTTTAGCGAATTTCCCTATAGGGAAGTAGCTATTACCGTAGGTGGCACGGCAAGACCTAGACCCGGGACCAATTTACTTTTTCATTTTGATGTCCCCAGAGGCCAAAAACACCATTCGTTGAAATTTTTATATATGTATATATATATATATATATATATATATATAGACTTATATATATATATATATATATATATACGTCCGTGAACGCGATAACTTGAGTAATTTTTGTCCGATTTTGATGAAATTTGGTTTAAAGGTGTAAAGCGGGATAAACTTGAATGAGTTCGCGAACCAGCACGATCGGATCATGGGAACGGGGCTTTACGGGGGGTTTTATGGGGTAAAAATTGGTTTTTCTCACTTTTGACCCTCAGAACACAAAATTTCCCGATTTATCTTTAGACCTTTTTAAAGAGCTTAAAAAAACAAATAATTTAGTATATAAAAGTATTTTTGTTCGATTATTAGTAACGGAGAAAATTAAAAAAATTGTTAATTTAAAATTCCCATGTTATTCTTATGGAGAATATTGTCAAATGTTGTAGTTTGCTTGTTTATGGATATATTTTGATCAAACTTGGCAAATTTATTTATTTTCTACTAAGCTATCAATATTTTACTCAAAAACACACTTTATTAGTTCCCTTGTAGCAGCAAACCTAGGTACTCGTTAAACATAATGTTATTAAAATATATTTAACTGAAAATCAATTCAGACAAATGGAAATTCGCTTAGTCGGCAGGTTTGCTGCGGCGGGGGTATTGTTCAGTTAATATATTCTGTTCATTATTGTGTAATAATCAGACAGTTCGTTGTGCAACGGTGAATGATGATCAAAAACAAACCGAGCAAGAACAACGGAAGTAGCCGACGTTCGAATCTGTTATTTGATTGTGTAAACGTAAATCGCAACAATAGACACGATGTATCCAAATTTTAGGCATCTAAGGGGACTTGCTTCTGAAAATAGGTAAAATCATTAAAAATTCAATATAATTTTTTTCATATTTTTTGTCTATTGGACACTATTGCCTACATCAAAAGAATATTATATAAGCTATGTCTGAATGTTATTTCCATAAAAAAATATATATTTTATGCGTTAACTTACTGCAGTTAAAGAAAGTGCTTTGGTGAAAGAGTATTATGGATTTGATGTAACTTAATTATGGATTTGATGTAACTTACCTTAATGAAGTTAAAACTACTTGAGCAGCTGATCAACTGATATAAATGTGGTTAGACACTGTTAAATAACATATTTGTATGTATGAAATGGTCTTCGTTCATTCTCATACGTGATTCGGAGCGTACTCCTAGTTAGAAATCATGAAACAATGAATGCATTCTAGTTTACAATAACTTCACACTTTCTGTGACAAGATCCAGGTAAATTATCTTTGCTTTCATCTATAATGGTGGATTTACAACTGCACATTTGCTTAATAAGTGGAGATTTGAGAAGAATTGCGTAAATAAGTGTAATTTTAGTGCACCGGTATGACAGGCTGGGAGAAAGCCTAAGGTCGAATACTGGTCCGGCAACATGTAGAGAGGGTCTTGGGTGTTATTTTGATGACCGTAGCTTCTACTGACCTCTCGTACTTTCTCTGCTAACCTTGCACGTTGTACAATGAGCGAAACTCACTCCATTTGTTTACGGTTTCTCGAAATCCGTTTGTGGACACGATTTGTTGGTGTTATTGGGTGACCGAGCAGAAAATGCTCTCCTTAACCATTGGCAGAGAAAGAATAAACGAATGATGCTTTTCATACAGTTAAATGACAAAGCGGGCTTTCTTGTACTGATTATAGCACGCAAAGTAACTAATTACTGCATTTACTTACTTTTGCGGCACTCATTTTACTTTGTCGCACTCATTTTACTTTGCCGCATTCCAGTATTCCAACCAAGCCCCACAAAACAGTGTGTTTTAATAATGCACTTAAAATACGTGTACGCTTAAAAATAAGTTGGCAACACAAGATACCATGACTAGTATCGTAGTCACTATAGTGGTGCAGCGTTTCACAGCCTTTGACTATTGATACAGTCTGTTGTTTCGTGTTAACATTCTATTTTCGTTCAATGCTAAGATTTACTTTAACCTAAAACGTGTGGTTTAGTTTTTGAAAGACTAATTAAATATTTACTTAGTAACTGTAGGAAAAAACATTTTTACTAGTTTAGTTGCAAGCACGAACCGGACGTCTGAAAGTTGGTCGTCCACGATGACAGACAGATAATCAGCTGTGAAACTGACACAGATCAGCTGTTCACCCGTCATTGTGACGTCATTTGCACTTATTCAGCATATTATTTGAAATGTGCTCAGGGATATTATAAATCTAATCCAAAACTTTTGAAGCAATAGTTGCTCTATCCACGATATCAGTTTATCCTTTAGTTTAGTCCTTGGAACCTAGATGTTCTAACACGTAAAACAATTAAAAACTACAAAGAAAATTTCTTACCTCACAGTATACTAGATATTTAGATGAAAATCACCCTCGTATTTGAAAAACTATTTTGACATGGTAAATAATTCTTCAGTGGCTGTTTGAAATTAACAAAATGAACATTGCTCTTATGGCGCACAAATCCATGACGGCGGTTTGCTTCCATGGACTCCCTTGGAGAACAATTCAAAACTAGGCCTACAAAGAACATTTCTAATCTCACAGTATACTAGTCATTTATTATAATCACTTTGGTGTTTGAAAAATACTTTTGGACGATAAATAACTCTTCAGCAGCTGTTTGAAGTTATCCAAGATATAGCCGCTAGCCTCCAAGAACTCTTAATATTTTTGTAAAGGTATACAAGAATAATTGGGAGGTAAATTACTAAATTAACTCTCGGAGAAGAACATGAAGGAATAGGTCATTTTTCAACACAGATAATAAGCAACGTTTTAAAATGTTTCTTCTGTTAAGTCCAACAATCGGACCATTTTGGCCCACTATTGGGCGTTCTTTTAAAAATAATGTATCGTTTCTTATCTAGGAACACGGGCGTTTAGAAAACCGAAAGCCTCACAACTGTCCACTGCATATTTGAATGAAATGTCTTGATGTGATACTGCCCGGAAAAGTATTAGTTTTTCAATTAACCCTCTCTTAAGGGTACGAAACCTTAAGATAGGGTTGTATAATCACAAAATATTGAGTATTCGTCAGCTGTTTTATTTGTTTTGGTTTATAATTGTTTGTTTACTTTTTCTCTGAGGTAAATATTTTGTTCTCATCACGAATATTTGAACATAAAATATTCGTGGTTCTTATCATAGACTCTCTGCAATTAAAATGCTGGGTGTTTCAAAATAAAAGAGAAAATTTTAACATTAAAACATTAAAACTCGCCTACTAATCAAAAGGTCGCCGGTTCGATCCTGAGAAAAGTCAGTAGCTTTTTGATGGTTCGAAACTGGACCCAGCTGTTCCTGATCATTGGGCTTTAAATAAATGATCCTGGCTAATGAAACAGCTGATCTTAGTCAGTAACAAAACTACACAGATCATCTCACACCATTCTACACTCATCCTTCACTCATATTTGGGTTAAAATACGCACTAGTGGCGTCCCCATCTTAATGATTGATAATTGATGTCAAATCTGCTCTTTCATTTTGAAACATGTACCCTGTATGATAAACTGTATTCGTTATAAATCTTCCACACAGCAAATGCATAAACAAAGGAATCTTAATTGTGATCGATTTCGATAGAGTTTTGATTCTATGGTGGGTGTGTAACTGTTTTTTTTGTTTTTTTTTTTACTGTAGATTTCATGAACCATATTATTCTTTTTTGTATTCTCAACCCGTTGCGAATCACAGGCAGAGCAACTACTATATTTAAAAAAAACTTGAAGTACATTGAATGCAACTGATACACGTGCTCTAAAGTAAGCACAACAATATGACAATCCATCAAACAGCTGTTATCCAAGTAAAAGAGAAAGGCCGGTGATAGAGCAATGGTCCAGCCGTCAGTTGTGTGCCACCGCCTTCTTGAGTCAACACCTCCATCCGTCGCCACCGCCTTCTAGATCTCGTCACCGGGCTTGGATAACCTGACAATGAACCTGGTCAGTAATTAACCATTTCTGAAAATAAAACTAAAAAGTCCTGAAATTTGTAGATGTTTTATCATTGTGTTTAAAATTACAAAGAATCTTATAGTGACTAGTGCAGAGAAACGAGGAAAACTGTGATTTAATTGTAAATAGTTCATTTAGAAAATAGTGAGAAAGTTAAACAAATCAGATTTTTAAAGAAGAATTATAAAAAATTTAACCAACCCATGATTCTTGCATGAATTATAAAACTTACCTGAAGATTTAAAAAGGTAAAACAAAAAATGTTTATAAATACAAACACAACTTTGAATAGCGTAACATTTAATTACACATATCGCGATTTTACTATGTGACTTAATGGTAATTATTAATTAAATAATACTTAAGTGTATAGACATATATATTTGTAAATTGTTCACCTGATAAGATAATTATATGGCTACTTAAATTATAATAATAGGTTAAAGCAATAATATACTTTATAACTGATTTATCATTCTATTTTTATTATGATTTTGAAAATTTTAAACATATGTGAAACCCAAGTTTTACCAACACGCAGAAACATATAAAAAAGTCAACTAAAGCTTACAGTAACATTAAACACATTGACACACGTGGTGAAAGGTTATAACAGAATATGGATACAAATTTTACAGTAGTAGTAGTATGTAAACATAACAATTAGAAACCCACAGATAAGTGTAAAGATGACATAGAGCTGTAACAATATGGGTCATCTCTATCTATCTAGGCAAACATTAATTCATAATGCCTTATTAAAACATAGAACATTTAGCATATAAGTTCATTAACTAATTTCGGTCCCATATATATCATCTAAACATTTATGTACTGTAGGCCTACTTTTACAATTGTTTTCTCGGTTAAATCCTCTTTTCAGCTGTCCTCCTTGACCGATTTTGACGATTGATGTGTCATTTTAAAGTTTTTGATCTATGCACTTGTAAATGGTAATATCCTTAAGGGCTTTGCCTACTCACGTTTTATTTATTCCTAGAGTATATTTTCTAAGATCATGTCATGCAACGGTTTAGATGTGAACTATAATTTAACACCGTAAACACGTCATGATAAATTTAAAAGGGCTACTTTTATTTATATCAATTATTTAAGATGGGGACGCCACTAGGTGCGTATTTTAACCCAAATATGAATGAAGGATGAGTGGCACGATCTTGTAGTCTTTAGAGACTAAGGCCGACATATTCCTTAGACTAGACACAACTGTTAATTAATAGCCTAGACAGCTAATGACAACTAAGTGACCTACAGTTTATAGTGGAATCCGAACCACATTTTTGACTTGTAATTAACGAATTGGTCTAATTGAGTAGTCGTAGTACTCACTAGTGTGGACGTTAATCCACACCAGGGAGGATCGCATCCTCAGTGCATATCTAAAAATATCCACAATTCGGTTTAGCCTGATTGAGGTAGGTACGTAAATCACAGATACACAAACAACAAATTTTAAACATCTTAAATTAGTAGTTTTATTAGTCCAATAATAGTCTTAAAAACGTTCGTCCTACTTTTATTTTCTCATAAGGATTTTTTTCTTGAATGTTACATTTTGTTTTACCTACGAGCAATAGGTAAATACTACGAGGTAATCTTTGAAAGGTAAAAGGGAAATACAATATTTGTTATGCCTCGGAGACGAGTTTGAAACCTTATTAAAAAGCGTAATTTACTCACGCGCCCTCTCGTTTTATTTAAATATTTATTTAGATTCGCCCTAAAAGTCTATATTGCGTAAAACAACTTTCACACTGTCCAATGACCACTTTTTGCAGCAACTATTGTTTTTTTCGTAACTTTCTGCATAATTTAAGCATAACATTGCGTCGGAACATGTGGACCGAGTTGCCTCTTCATCTGTTTGGATGATAGGGAAAGTCATTTGGAGGAACGGGAACAAGAAGATCCGGCAGGGACCTACTACTCATGCTAGGAACAGGTTTAGCCCACGAGAAGAAATTGGAGTTATGATTGTGCTAAATGAGTGTCTATACTCTGTAGGTTGAGTATAGTCTGTATGATGGAACCTGTCTCCTGGCCGGGTCTATCTTACCACTTGTCAATGGTTTAGGGCTCAGGAAAATCCCAGGTATACGGATAGTCAGGAGACAGGTTCCATCATACAGACTATAGAGGGCCATGGTCACTTATACAAGCAGCAAAATCCCCGTTAAGAATATTTTGGTTTATAATTTCAAAAGTGGACATGGACCAAGATGTATAGAGTAAAAGAGGTGGGCCAATAATGGACTGATGTTTAAAAGCAAAATGACTTAAAGAATTAAAGAGGTTTGGTTAAAAAGTTGTTAATATTATTATCACCAACAAAAAAGCACAAAATTACGAAAGTTTTTGTAAGATTTGTGGTTTTATAAGTCACAAAATACGTTGTTGGTATTCAAAAGACCAAGATAATTATACATCTCGATATCCCAAAATGTTGTAAAACACCCTGATACATTGGTAATAATAATTTCACTACCTGATAATATAACAGATAGATCGTCTAACACAATGATATCATGATACTTTGGTGTACACAAGGTCCAACATTCATGATATTCCATTTTCGATAAGTAATCAATTTCCATATTTCATGACAGACTCATTGTCAGGGACATTCAGTCCAATAATTACCCGATAGTTTTTGATAGTTACACCTTATGTAAGTTTTTGTCAGCTTGTTTGGCATGTTCAGGGGGTCTTCTATCTTCATATGACAAACCCATGGTTATGCTTACAATATCTGTTCTTCAATTTGGATATCAATGCAAATAAGGTTATTTCAAAAGCGTAACCTGTTTACAAACGAGCAATAAAACTTTAAACCTACTTAATTACATGCGTTTCACTCAACTTGTGCACTCAGGGTAAATTAGAACAGAGAAAAGCAATGCGGATTACGTCTTAACTTCCTCAACGTTTTTCACTTCCGGCACGAATAAAATAACTGTATCGTGCAAACAACCGTCATACATTCCACTATCGTTTCATCAGCTGGCGTTGCACGTAGAGCGGAGCGAACGAGAGAAACTGTAGATAACAATGCAGGTCTTATCACGACTAATCCTTATCAGCACGCGCGCTCACCGCGCCACTGCAGCAGTGATATCATCGCCAGGGTTTAATTACAGCAATGACAGTTCGGGGAAACTGTAGGTGTAAATGAGAAGAAAACTATCTGGCGCAGATTTTATCGTTGGGGGTTTCCAACTAATTCAAGGTTAACTATCCGCAAAATAAATTCTTTGTAAGTTAACATGTGAAATGGTTATACAAACATTCAAAAACGTTTTCTCAACTTGATTCGCATGTTCGTTTAAACTAAAATACTGGTTTAAATGCGATCTAAAAATCCAAAGTATTTTTAAAGCTACGTTAAGCTTTACAACGAATCGGTATCTTGAATTTATGACTTCTTCGTCAGGTTGGTACACTACACACTTAAATCATGACAATAAGTCATCATTATGTTTTAGGTAGCATAGATTATATATAAAAGCGGTGATTATATAGTATGCATACGGTTTTCATAATCAGCCTATAATGATTTCTATTATATTTGCATACACAATACACAGCTATTAAAAAATTACTTACTTTTAAATCATTTGATTACTTTACAGTTTTGTGTGCGCTGGGAAAACATTTGATTTTCGATGAGATTAACACATTTGTTATTCTTTAGTGAACATCATTTTTTGTCTTGAGTTCTTTATTTGCAACTGTTTGAAATATTAAAACAACTTTAGTGAAAGTAAACTGATTTAGTTTGCTTGTTTATGGGTGTATTTTTTCATATTTAGTCAATCTACTCAACACCAAGCTATCAACATTTTACTGAATTAACTCCCTTTGTAGCAGCAAACCTAAGTACTTATATAAAATGTTATTTAAACAGGGAATAAATGTGACATGTTAACGAAATATCTTTAAGAAAACCCAACCAGGGTGGATATTTGCAGTCTAGTTGCGCGGTTTGTTGCTGCAGGGATGTTTTATTTTTATTATCGAATCTGATTTTATTTTAGCCATCGCAGACACTAAGATTATCTTTATACAAAAAATCTTATTTCCTGTGATGTTTGCTTGATGGAAAGCTAGACAGACAGTAAATTATAATTTTTAAGTAGGCCTAGTGTTAAAACTATAATTAGAAATAATTGCTCACCTAATTGGATATAATTTAAACAATTAACTATCTCGGGCACGAAGGTTTGTACAAATCACCTTATTTCATTTGGTGTTTGCTTGATGGAATGCTATACGGACAGTAAATTATCATTTATAGTTGTATGATAACTATAATTCGAAATAATGGTTCACCTGATTGGATGTAATTGAACAATTTGAGATTAAACAGTAGCTTGTTACTACAACTTTTTTTGCGCTCGACTTTTGGTATGTAGCAGCTTTTGCTGTACAAGGCCCAACTTTCCCGCACGGGTTGTTGGAGGCTCGAGTCACGTACGAAGTAGGTTTACTACCACTTTCACACGTGGGCCCTTGTCACTGTTGAAACTACCTGTCATCTCTGGACCAAGCTGGGTGACGAAACTAACCTTAAATTACATGATTTGCTAAAACTTGAAGAATATAAGACAAATACAAAATTATATTACGCTAGGAAATTTAAAATGTTCTACGTTCGCTGCATGTTTTTGGAAGATAGATTTGTTAACTGAATGTAATGTTGATGCGTTAAGGTTTAATTAAGTGCAGTTGGCAAGTTACTATCAAAATGTATAGTCCTTTCACAACATTAATAGTCTAAGACCAGTAGCATAAAACTAGGCCTGACCTGGGCAAAATTAATAACAAATCAAAACCAACTGGAATGTGTTAGGTATGCATCCCTTAACATTTTGTGAAATTTCCCAACTTTTCCCACCGAAGCAAAATCCACCATCTTGGGAAATGGCGGACAATCTATAGAACACTGCAAGGTTCCACTTAAAAACTTA